CACTTTATTTACAAATGGATGAAGTTGTCTTCTAAAAGTAAAAAAGGTTTAAAATTATCAAAATATAACAAATATAAATAAATTGACTTTTTTTAAAATGAGTGTACTCAGTAGCGGTGTCAACTTCTACGCATGACAATTGTACTGCAAGAGCGATTATGGTTAAACATATGATGTAATTCTTTTTAAAAAAATTCAAATAAATAAGTCCCGATAAATTGTATACTTTGAGATGTAAAGTATATTTTTTTAAGAAAATATATAGTTTTAATGTTTATACAGTAGATAAGTTATATATATTTACTCGCAAAACGACGTTATTTTGGGTTAAAAAATTATAATAAAAAATACTATTATAATCTTAAAATAAATTATAATTATAAAAATATCTTGATTTCTGTCTCAAAACGATATTATTTTGAACTCAATATCAATAAATTATCTACGTTGACAGTAGAAAAAACAAATCCAATATATATATATATAATAACTCAATGATTGTTAATTTAGTAACGTTCAATTAAATGATTCAATCTGCTTAAGAGTGATGGATTCGATTCTTGAAAGTCGGAACTTATAAAGAAATTCAAATTCAAAAATAAATTAGTTGGATTTCTTAGAATTTCACACATTGGTTAGTACGAAAAATGGAATCTCACATTATTATTAATTCTCAATAAATGATAACAGTTGATTGACGGAAATTAACGGTGTTAAGATATGGTTGTAAGAGGTTGTAAGTATAACCTTCCTCTATTATTAACATCTAACATATTATAAACATTCAAAATTTTCGTTTTAAAAGATAAGAACCGTCAACTCTGCGCTACTACTTTTAGAAATGTCCAAAACAGTACACAGGAAGGTTAATTCGTGCTGCTATATTTATACTTGAAAACTTACATAATATAGATAAGTTCACTAATATTAATGTTTATTATTTTCATTTAAAGATTTTATTAAGCAGTACAATCATATAACAAATATAAATCAATAATTAACTCATTAATAATAAGGTGTAACCTAAATGTAGGTTTTCAAACGTACATATTAACGTTGTACAAGGTAGCAATGCTGCTGATTGAGATATTGAATGGGTAATTTTTGAGTTTCCACAAGGTATTCTGTAACCGACAATCGGAAACTAATCTTTTCAAGACGTAAAAATTATCGAAGTGAATTTTGTCTCTACCAACAAAATATTTTTCAATACACAAAGTCAGAGATCGAACTCCTATCAGCATATTTAAGGAACCCAACAATTTACGAATGTGACTGGCTTTGTTGGTATTTAATGGGTATTTTGGATTGGAGCTGTTTGCACTTTGCAGGACTACACATGTGTTGTCATTAGGGGTGTTAACGAGCCGAGCCGAGCTGAGCTTTGGTCTTAACGGGCCGAGCCTGTGTTCAAATGTGTCAGACTAGCCTTAACTTGTTATCTGTTACGAATATAATATCAGCATGTGGCCTGACTCATTTACAAAAAATAAAAGCCTTGTTTAGCTTGTTAGCCTGTTTAAAAAAAAATAAGACAACAAAAATTTATCCAAACAAAATATACAATCAACAACACTAGTAATTCCATAAATATTCATAAATTTAATGTATATCCAAATAGCATAATATAAAACAAAATCATTTAAAAAGTCTGTTTAATTAATAAAATAGGATGAAATGAATTGAGAAGAGAGAGAAGACTATCACAAGTAGTATAAAAATAAAAAAATAAATAACATATTAGGCAAGCCTGAGAGGCTCTAAGGCCGAACTTTTGAATTGGAGTCTGAGACCTTTTTATTAAACGAGCTTTTATACAAGTCCAAGCCTGGGTCCAACAATCAATTTTAGACATGTAAGATCAGGCCTTCACGAGCCGAGCCAAAGACACCTGTAAAGTTCTTGGCTCGTTTAGCACCTCTAGTTGCCATGTTGTGCTTTCCTCGTGGGTATGGCACTCCTACAAACATTTCTAGTGTAGTGTTTGCGCTTCTTGGCACAAACAAACACGTCAAAATCACTAATTCAGCGAGCTTCCCTTAGGTGGTGTTTGGTTGGGAGCTTTTCAGCAGATATCTATGTTTCTCAAGTATGGCTTTTAGAAATACCATATTTGTTTCAACGTATTTTCACCAAAAATCCATCTATCTAATTTGTATGGATATATAAGAAACATAGATATCTCGCACTGTTTAGAAACCCAATTTGAAGGTGGGATTTTTAGAAAAACCGGTTATCTGGCTTTTAATGCACTGTTGATTTCATAAAGTTACCTAATTTTCCCAGTAAAGTTTTCCCCCACCAAACAACTTTTTTTTACATTTTCTACCTATCTCACTTTATCTATCTTTCCAATCATTTCTCTATTTATTACATTTCCCTACTATTCCAAAAAAATTTCCTCAACCAAACGCCCCCTTAATGTATCTTTTTTTACATTTTCTACCTATCTCACTTTATCTATCTTTCCAATCATTTCTCTATTTATTACATTTCCCTACTATTCCAAAAAAATTTCCTCAACCAAACGCCCCCTTAATGTATACTGCACTCTACTTCTATGTATATCGTCTTATTAATTCCCATCAATATAAAAGTAAATAACAAATTGGTCACCCTTCTTGAGGTCACTACTCGTGATGCGCGGTAAAAAAATTAAAATATTACTATTTTAATAAATAATTACAAATACATAACTGTTTTGAAACTATCTACGCATCTATTGCATTCATTCACGCCTAAATTAGACGTGACTATTCACGCCCAAATTAGACGTGACTCCCAAGGCATTCATGCCTAATTTAGACGTGAATCATCTGGTGTTGACACGTGGTAAAAAAGTCAACTTCCGAACCGTAAAACTTTGGAAAGCCATAACTTTTGATTTGGGTATCCGAATGAGGTAATTCTTTTTTTGATTCCACATGACTTTTCGAGATCTACGCAATGACATCTCATTTGATATATTTTATCTCTCACAAACACAATTCAAATATGCAATAATTTTTTATTAGAAAAGCAAATTTTTTGTGTCACGTGTCGACACCAGACGAGTCACGCCTAATTTAGGCGTGAATGTCTTGGGAGTCACACCTAACTTAGGCGTGAATAGTCACACCTAATTTGGACGTGAATAAGTGCAATAGATCCTAGATAATTTCAAAACAGCTATGTATTTATAATTATTTATTAAAATAATAATATTTTAATTTTTTTGCCCGTGATGCGCTGTACTGTAAAACAATGCATCCTGAAAAACTAGTTTGGCTCGAGCTTGTGTTTACTATAGGTTTTTTTTTTCCCCTCATGGATTTATGTAGTTAAAATTTGCTAATATATGCCTTCAATAATTATATGAGTTTATATATCTTACTTAAACTTTGTTTTGATCAATTTTGGATAAGATTGCCTGAAATATTAGTAAACAATTACTAACAAAAAATAATGTAGATGCCATATTATTAGTCTACAAAATATTATTTTATACTAGCAACAAAGCAGTTGCTAAGTTCTGTCCAATTTGATATTAATAAAATGTGAGATTTTTATCCTAAGCCAAATGCAAAAAAAGATTTTAAATTGTTTCGAATTACAATGAAGAAAACAATATCATTAGAACATGTTTATAGAGGAATTTAATACGCACGCGCGGTTGACTGTTATTATATATATATATGAAAAAACAGTAATATTAGTAAAGACAAATTTTATTCGTTTCCGGGACGAAGACGAAAAAATATTGCAACTTGAGTTACTTTAAAGCTTTACAGATAATCAGATCATATAAAACAGAATAATTATATTATATATAAAAATTCAATAAGATAAGAATTAATAACAATCTCTCTAATAGGAAATAATGATAAAGCCTCTTCCTTTCGGACAATGATTCTATGTAACTTTAATTAATAATTTTAATCAGGGATTTTACTAAGGTATTATTCTTTCGAGGGGTCCAAAAATTCATATCATAAATAAACATAATATTTTCATCAAAATATAAAAACACAAATATTATTTATAAAAATGAATTCATTTATAAGAAAAACTAACTTACCACAATATCAATAACACATTTATCCCAAAATGAAGACTGAGAGCACATAAACCCAAATGATACGTAAGAAAAAACAACTTAATTAATTATTATTTTCTGTTATCATTTTATTGTTTTATTATATGATATGATAACGTTGGATTGAATTACTACATATTATTAAAGTATGTATTCTCAATAACACTCTAATTTCTCTACAATTACCATTTGTCACATTTTTTTTAGGGAAAAATAAATCTTATGCTGTAGGAGATTCTAATCTCATGTCATAGATACATCATGTGTTAGATCCACTTATTTAAAAAAATAAAAAACAAAAAAAATGAGTAGCACATCTTTTTATGGTGTGTAAGAGTTTGTTTTTTCATGCAACACGAGAAAAACAAAATTTTTTTTTAATACGTAAAAGGATACTTAAAAGTTGAAAGACTTAAAGGCACTACCATTATTGTTATACTTCGATACACAAAAAATCCAAGGCCCACAGGGCAAAAGGTGCAAGTCCATTATTATATACAAATAGGAAACTCACATCAGGAAACAGTTCTAAAGCAGGAGGGAATTGATAACTTGACATGAAATACGAATTCCAATTCCAGGATCCAAGAAGCTCCTATTTGCAAAATGGCAACCTTTTAATTTGTTCAATCATTTACAATATGTGAATAGGAAATAAATTTCATAACCCCACAGCTGAATTAGCAAGATACTAATCCTAGTAAGTCAAGTACACTGAGTACCTTGTACATTTCTACACCCAAATTATTCACATGGGTCCAGTTCTTAATATTCTACCTTAATACTTTAATTAAAAAAAAACAAATTAATATCAATTAACAAGTAATTAATTAGCTAAATCCAACTATATAAGCACATTGTACTTCTCATTTCTTTCTGCACCTCACCTTTCCCTTCTTTCTCTATCTTTGTTCTCAAACCAACCATGACCAGCAGCAACCACAATTCCCTGTCCAAGAAGAAGAAGCTCTTCTTGTCTCTCTTCTCCACCCTTCTTCTAGTGGCAACCGTCGCCGCCATTGTCGTCGGAGTAAACTCACACAAGAAGAACTCCACCGGAGAAAACAATGCCTCCTCCCTCTCTCACCATTCTCACACCATAATCAAAAACGCTTGCAGCAGCACATTCTACCCTGAACTCTGTTTCTCAGCCATATCCTCTGAACCTGGCATCACAAACAAAGTAACAAACCACAAGGATGTTATAGAGTTATCCTTGAACATCACAACCAGAGCCGTTGAACACAACTACTTCACAGTGGAGAAGCTTCAAAACAAAAAGGGTCTAACAAAAAGGGAGAAAATCGCACTCCATGATTGCTTAGAAACCATTGATGAAACCCTCGAAGAGCTCAAGGAAGCCTTTGAGGATCTCAAACTTTACCCTCAAAAGAAATCACTTTACCAACATGCTGATGACCTCAAAACACTCATCAGTGCCGCCATAACAAACCAAGTTACTTGCTTGGATGGTTTCTCTCACGAGGGTGCTGATAAGACTGTGAGAAAAGCTCTTGAACAAGGACAGATACATGTTGAACACATGTGTAGCAATGCTTTGGCTATGACCAAGAACATGACTGATACTGACATAGCCAACTATGAACAGAACATGATTATGGATGGAAACAACAATAATAGGAAGCTGATGATGGATTTTAATGAGGGTGCAATTCAGTGGCCGGAGTGGATTTCTGCGGCGGATAGGAGGCTTTTGCAGGCGCCGGCGGTGACACCGGATGTGGTGGTGGCGGCTGACGGCAGCGGTGACTTTAAGACGGTGTCAGCTGCGGTGGATGCAGCTCCTTTGAAGAGTAGCAAGAGATTTGTTATAAGGATTAAAGCTGGGGTTTATAGAGAGAATGTTGATGTGCCAAAGAAGAAGATTAATATAATGTTCTTGGGTGATGGTAGAACTAACACTATCATCACTGGTAGCAGAAATGTTGTTGATGGCAGCACAACCTTCCACTCTGCCACTGTCGGTAAGTTCCTTAATTTTCCTTAATAATGTTGTTAATCACTGTTTTTTTGTTCAAATTAAGAAAAAAATAAGTAATAACTTAACCGGTGGTCTCTAGTTCAAGTCATGAAAATGTCGTTGGATTAAAACTTGATAGTTAGAACTTTGTTGTCCAAGTAGTACTAGTGAAGTAATCAATGTGTCCTTAGAAAATGGTTGTTTATTTTTTTTGTTTAGAAGAATTGCAACACTTAGTCACAGCAAAGGTTTGAGTTTAGGAAGAATTGAAAAGTTGTGAAGCTTTAAACCAAACCCAAAAAGGTTTTAGAGTAATGAATGGCTTTGAGGTAACTACTAACTTAAACAGGGTTGGTCCTATTCTAATTATGGTTAGACCAACGGGCAAAGGCAATGGCATGTGCTTGCCATTGTATAAACACTTTGATGATGCCTATAATTTCGGGATATTGAGGTCCCGGTTGCAAGACAACGGAAACAATAATTCTGGGCTAGATCATATTGTATTCCTAATTTTTCATCAAAATAATTTAGAAATATATTTCTTCAAATCGAAATACCATTTTCAACAAAATGATTATCAGCATGCACATGGGTTGTTCTGACTTCTGAGTATATAAGTATTGTTTTGGTCAACTGTTTGGTCTTTTTTGTAGTCCTGCTTTTCTGCTGTGGTAGTACGTTTAAAATGTTAAAATAATTTCCATGTCCAGCTCGTGAATGTTTGAGAAAATAAAATAAAACTGAAATACATTTTTATATAATATAAATAATTTAGAAAACGGATAAAATTTGTTGGTGTTTTTTAAGAAAAAAATTGACCTTTTAATTAAAAAATGTTTAAATTTTTGTATGTTATTTAAATAATTTTTTAAAAAAAATTAAGAGAAAAAAAAGTTTAGTGTTTTTATCAAAAGATAAAAAAAAAAAAAGTAGATTCCTTATGTAATAATTTTTTTTTTCAAATATATTTTTAATTGGATTGTATAAGTAGAAGATTTAGAAGTGTCGATTTTATTATTATTTTTTTACGAAAATTGTTATTATCTTTTGTAATATTTAATATATTTAAAAATAATAAATTTTTACACAAATTTAGCTTTCATATATAACTGTTTTCTCAATAAATTATTTATTTTGCGTAAAAGAATACAGAATTTTATGGAGATTCTTTTTCTTCATCTAAGAATGAAGAAGGGAGGTGGAATACAGCTAGACAATCTTCATTTAATTTTACTTTATATATATATTCCATTCTGGTTCTCTTGTCTTTTTCGGCATTTTGGCTCTACTTTGGAATTTGAATGTTGAATTCTGAAGCCACGAACATTCCATGATGCTTCCTTCAAAATCAGGCACGGTTCTCTATACTACTACTAGTATAGCCATACATTATTGTATCTTTAGCAAACCTGTCATTATATCTTCTGTCTATATAAACGTCTTAGATTATATGTTAATCTCTCGTTCTTTCAACATAACCAAAACACAACTAATCTTATCTCGTACTTTAACTTGTGCATACAGCATATCTCACTTGTCCTCTTGTATGGCTTTGTTCTATTATGTCAAATCTTGACCTAATAATAAAACACTTCCCCTAGGGAAAGTGTATTTGATGACCATTCAGGACATGCTTCTACCTTGTGAGCTGTAATTGTGCATAAACCCATATGACACTATCCTCTCAATTTACCCCAACATGAGTCTATTGATGAGTCATTTCAGTTTCATGCTTGTACTTGCACAAGTTGCCACCGAATTTGTCTTTCATTTTAATATCTAAACACTTGGACCACTTAATTGCTTTATATCCAATCAACCATACTAGTTCTTTTTATGGTACGTACACTCATTCTTATATGAAATGTTTCTAGTAAAGAAAAATGATACTCTTGATCTAGAGATTTTACACTAAAAAAGTATCAATAAAAAGAAAATGAAATAAATTTATAAGAGGAAAATAGACTATTATTGTGTTTTACTTTTTCTAATAGATCAAAAGTGTCACCCTTCAAAATGACTTTTGTTAGAATGAGTATGAGCAACTTTACCTCATACACAACTCAAAGGCACTAACGAATGACTACAATATTCATGATTGCTTTTTTTATTTTTGTCCCTTGTTTGATGCCTTTTGTTTGTGTAGTCAATTTTCTACATTCCAAATATAAATGTGAACCAAACTAAAGCGTTTTCATCTACTTTCTAAATATACATGTGAAACCAAACTAAAGCATTTTTTCAATTTTTTTTTTTTTTTCATAATGTGGTTGCAGCCGTTGTGGGTGGACAATTTTTGGCCCGAGACATAGCCTTTCAAAACACAGCAGGGCCCTCAAAGCACCAAGCAGTGGCTCTAAGAGTTGGTGGTGACCTTTCAGCCTTCTACAACTGTGACATCTTAGCATACCAAGATACCCTTTATGTACACAACAATCGCCAATTCTTTGTGAACTGTCTCATATCAGGGACAGTGGATTTTATCTTTGGTAACTCAGCTGTTGTGTTACAAAACTGTGACATTCACGCTAGGCTTCCTAATTCAGGCCAAAAGAACATGGTCACTGCACAAGGGAGGGTTGATCCTAACCAAAACACTGGCATTGTTATCCACAAGTGTAGAATTGGTGCCACTAAGGATTTGGAACCTGTGAAGAAGAGTTTCCCTACATATCTTGGTAGGCCATGGAAAGAGTACTCTAGGACTGTGATTATGCAAACAACAATTAGTGATGTGATTGACCCAATTGGGTGGCATGAGTGGAATGGTGACTTTGCTTTGAACACTTTGGTTTATAGGGAATATCAAAACAATGGGCCAGGATCTGGAACTTCTAAGAGGGTTGCATGGAAAGGGTTTAAGGTTATTACTAATGCTGCTGAGGCCCACGCTTTTACTCCTGGAAGTTTCATTGCGGGCTCTACCTGGTTGGGCTCTACTGGGTTTCCTTTCTCTCTTGGGTTGTAAAATTGTGTTAGAATTTGAATCATGTTTTTTTTTAAAAAAAATATTTAAATATCATCTATTAAGTGCTAGAGAGAAATAAGAAATATTATTGATAATGAGCCTTAAACATTAAGTCTAGCAAGAACCTTAATGCCATCTGAGTAAACTCCAATTGGATTAGAAGAAAAAAAATGCTTGTTTGAGCTACCCAGACCTTGGGTTTGTTGACCCACACCCGAAACCGCTTGTATATTTTTTGATTGTAAGAAAAAGAAGGATTGGGCCGTTTACTCAGCCTCTTAGGTCCTAACCTGCTGGCAGAAGTCAGATCTGGGTACCCCATGGGTCGACCCGCTCTTTTTTTTTTTTGAGGGAACAAAGCAGTTTGGAAGTTAAAGTGTTTTTTTTTTTATACTGCTTAAAAGATGCTCATCTGTTAATCCAATGTAATGTAATATGGTTTCTCAATAACACATGCAATTAAAGTTACACTTTTGCTATGGTTTCCCATAAGAAACAAATAATGCATAAATATTTTTTTATCTATTTTATTTTTTACTTTTGCAAGTGCATAAAGTCCTTTTATTTTACACTAAGTCACAAATGTACACGAATTACAAATGTTCTTCTATTTCACAGTCAATTTCTCTCTTTTATTTTTTTTTTTTCTCAAAAAGAAAACATGAAGGAGGAATGATCTGAGATTACCATATGAGATCATAACAGGGAACGAAGAAGTTGGAATTTATCAAAATATTTTTGAAGCGTATTATTGAATCAGCCTTTATATTTAATCAGTATATGCATATCTATATATATTAAATTCGATTGAAAAAAAATTGAAAGAAATGATACGGAAAATTTTAATATGATCTGGACCATATTAAAAATTTTGTGTTCTCTCTCACATTACTTTCTCATTTTAACTCTATTTTTGTATCTATTTTTTCGTTTTACCCCTATTTAACTAAAGAAGTAAATGCTCAAGGACCACATAATTAACGCTCAAACGATACATTTAATAGTTGCAGCCTTAATTGACAGCTCACTCATTCACCTCCAACTGGGCCTTGAGTAACGGCCATCTCTTTGTGTGACTTGCAAGAGTATTTTACTATTTAAAAATTAACTTCATAAAGACATTTTAAAAATTAGGATGAATTATTCTGTCTATTTTTAATTTGCTTATCTTTGTTTACCCATCTTTATACTGGTAGATTATAATCTCATCCAACGATGAAGATTTATAGAATAAAATTAAGAATAAACAGAATAATCTATTCTTTAAAAATTATATAACAAAAATAGTATTTTGGCCCTGACCCAGTGAGTTAGGATTGAATGGATAAGCTGGTCCATGTTGATGACTTTAATAGGTAAAAAATTGCAATTTGTTGTCAACATCTGAAAGAAAGAAATTACTTTAAGAAAAGAGAGAGAGAAAGAAACTACAATAACCAAGGGTTGACAAGTGGATTTGGGACACCAAGAAAGAATAGCATGTGCATTCGCGCGATTTCCGGATAGGTGATTAATGATTAATTTCCACGCAGCATGCAATTCTGACGTTGACCTATCCGATAAATTCGTTTAAATTTTTTTAATGATGGTTTCAAATTAACTTTATAAATTAATTTAGATTATTTATGTTCCGGTCGATAAATTATATCTATCTCGTATAAGAAAAACCAAAATCATTTATACAAAAATACGTAAACAAATGAATAAAATATGTATCTATGCAGTTTAACATTCAACTTTTTTATAGTGGTTTGATAGTTTTACACTTTTACTAAAACATGCGGCACTTTTAACATTCACTATGAATTATGAAATGAAGCATCACGTTACGAAACCGCGGCTCCTTCTGCTGTCAGCCATTACCAAACCGTGTATAAAATCTAAAAATTCATAACTTCTATTAAGGTGCCAGGATAGTTTAGTATTTTAGTGATATTTTAAAATATTTTTAGTCTTATACATAAGAATCTCTTTTATTGTATAATTTTTTTTTAATCTACTCAGACAATTTATTTTTCGAATTAACACGATTCGAGCACTATCAAACTTTATATAGGAGTCGACTCTTCCAGGACTATTTTTTTTCCATTATCAAGACTCAAACTTGATATATTTAATTAAGTGACACAAACTCCTTACCACTTATACAAATTAACCAATCAATGAAACTAATGTTTGTCTTTATTTCTCTTTTCCATAATTCTAACAACTTCAACACACTTAGGGTGACTAAATATTATGGGTATTACTTCTCTTGTGTAACATAACATAAATCTTATTTGCAGCTGATCCGAAAAGAATGAGACCCACCGTTTAAAAAAAAAAAAATTGACACATTTTTTCATGTATCTGTAACATAAGATTGCTTTCTCCCTGCGCAGAAAAAATGATTTCCCAAATAATATTTATGAAAATAAATTACTGGTAAAGAGATAACTTTTTTAACCACTTAGATTAAGAATTTCATAATAATTAATTAAAAAAAAATATTTTTATGAACACCCAATTCCACTAATTAGCATATCAAACCATAAATAAAAGAAGATAAGGAAGAAAAAAATTAATAATTAAAATAAATGATTAAAAATAAACAATCTGAATATAAAAAGGAGATAAAAAAGAATTTAAAAAAGTGGAGAAATTGACACCTCGTATATTTGAAAGCCAAATTGTGGAAACTCCTTCCAGTTTTCCTTTAAAAATTTAGGAAAAGTATTTGTTATATTATATTTTCTACCCAAAATTAGGAGAGAGAGAAACAGAGAATGTAAAAATTACTAAATATACATCAAAATATGATTATTTTAATTAAAATAATACAAAATTATGTTGATAAATATTTTTTCGTAAAAATATATACTATAATAGCGCAGTCTCAATATTTAATATTAAACGTGAGTGTTATAAGCTTTATCTATGTTTTCATACAGGAGAAAAAAGGGGAAGAAGCCAAACTTTTCGTACGTGAGATTTAAAAATCGGCAAAATTTTCAGCCTTTTTCTTTTTCAATGAGAGTTAAGAAAGCTTCTTCTTTTTTATTCTCTATCTCTCCTTCTGATTAATTTTTTTTGTTTATTTTCTTTTAATCATTTATCGTGCTATGCTGACATTGTCATATCCACCACCTCTCTAAAAAACAATAAACAAAAACAAAGATTTTTTTAAAAATAAAAATAAGTATTTATATAGTTTAACAATCAACTGTTTTTAATAGCTTGATAGTTTGACAAAAGCATGCAGCATTCTTGAAATAAGAAGTCTTTTTCTCCACATAATTCACGGATCATAAAACAGCTCAGCTTCACTGTTAAATGAATCATTACATTAACTAAACCGCGGCCCCGTATTCTGTCAGCCATTCCCAAACCGTGTATAAAATCTAAAAAATAAATCACTTAACACACTTAGTTTGGCTAAATCATATTTATCAAAGTAAATATGAAACCGACCTCGAATACGATTCTCTTCCGAAAAAAATATCTATAACTCATAAAAAAAAAATACGTGAACTAAAACGAAGAGATAAACAACAACCCCTCTATGTAAATATGTAATCAAATACTTGGTTTAATTTTAAAAATCAAAATCAACTTTGTCCAATACGTGTTTGGTTTTTGTTTGTTAAGATAATAAAACGTGTATCAGTCTGTAAAACTTTTTAAAGGAAGATGGATTTTATGCAATCAATTCGCGAAACACCATGATGGTAACTTCTCGAGTGATTATTATGCATAAAAATGAATTTGTTCTTAGATACCCATTACTACTACTGAATCTTAACAAAGAAGCATAGCAGAAAGGACAACACTCCATATTCTTATCCCAAAACTTTAATAAAAAAAAAGGAATTTTTTTTTTTTTACTTCTCCATGAGAAATGAAAAATGCTTACCTACTTTAATTATATTTTATTAAAGTAAAAAAATAGTTATATCCCACGTAACTTTAAGTGTTGCACATTGAACAATACTAGATATACACTTTTTCCCTCGCAAGAATTTATCTTTCCATTCTCTTATAAAAGCACCCAAAGTTGTAAAAGATCAACAAACAAAACCAAACCTTAAAACAGTGCACACTTTGAAGTTGGAAACAGAGGCATATTACAAAGAGCAAAAATATGGATTCTATCAAGTCCTTCAAGGGGTACGGCAAAGTAGATGAGCTCGAGCAGAAAGCCTTTCAGAAGAAGACACGTAAGCGTGTGATAATCGTGATCGTCTCGTCCATCGTTCTCATAGCGTTGATTATCGCCGCGGTTGCAGGGGTCGTCATATACAAGCGCAACACCTCATCATCCTCAGCCGACTCGGTTCCCCAACCCGATTTGAACCCGGCCGCGTCACTCAAAGCTGTTTGCGAGGTGACTCAGTACCCTAACTCGTGCTTCGCCGCAATCTCCGCCGTCGCGAACTCCAACACCACCGATCCCGAGCTACTCTTCAAGCTCTCCCTACGCGTCGCCATTGACGAACTTTCCAAGCTCTCGAGCTTCCCTTCGAAGCTCCGCGCCATTGCGAACAACGACACGCGCCTCCAGAAGGCCATCGACGTTTGCTCCACCGTCATCGGCGACGCGCTGGACCGGCTCAACGATTCGATCTCCTCGCTAGACGTCGCCGGAGGCGGCGGCGCCGGGAAAATTCTCTCGACGGCGAAGATCAGCGACTACGAGACCTGGCTCAGCGCCGCGATCACGGACCAGGACACGTGCCTGGACGCTCTCGGCGAGGTGAACTCCACCGCCGCGCGCGGCGTTCTACGGGAAATGGGAACCGCCATGAAGAACTCCACCGAGTTCTCGAGTAACAGCTTGGCCATCGTCACGAGGATCCTAGGGCTTCTCTCGAAGTTGAACGCGCCGATCCACAACCGGAGGCTGCTAGGAGCGTTCCCGGAGTGGGTGAGCGCGGCGGATAGGAGGCTGTTGGCGGAGGAGGGAAACGATACTACGACGCCGGACGCGGTGGTGGCGAAGGACGGCAGCGGACAGTACAAGACGATTGCGGAGGCGGTGAAGGCGGTGAAGAAGAAGAGCGATAAGAGATTCGTGGTGTACGTGAAGGAAGGGGTTTACGTGGAAAACATCGATTTGGATAAGGATACGTGGAATGTGATGATCTACGGTGACGGCAAGACCAAAACCGTCGTCCAGGGTGGCCGGAACTTCATCGACGGCACTCCCACTTTTGAAACTGCCACTTTCGGTAATCCAAAACCCTAAACTAATGTTAATAATGTTATAATGGTATTTGAAAATTGGTTATTATCCGTTTAATACTCTGCAATGAATTTACTTCCATGTGCATGATGTCATTTATCGAAGATATTTTTTTAAATAGTTTAAAATCTATTGGATGATTTAATTAATGGATTTGTCAAAATTTCATTTATTTGATTGCATTTAATTATAAAGAGTTTGAATTTTTTTAAATTAAAATTTAAAAATTGATTTATATACAAGTCATTTAAATAATAATAAATTGAACAAGAGGATATATAGCTCTTCAATTTTTTTTTTATTTTTTTTTTGTGTCATTAGTTGTTTAAAGTGCATGATAGGTTCATAGAAGCTAAGTTTTGGGGTTCTACAATTTAGGATTCAAATTGCTTGTTATATTGTCATGGAAAATACAAGTTTGATGAAAAAGCATGTGGCATGTGCTTTAGTGGGAAATATCTTGTGTGTCTGGCGAGACACATGGTTTCAATTTTTCATCATGTGAACCTGATCTGCTCTTTAGGTCTCACAAAATTGGTTGCCTACGCCCTCTTTCATATTTTCTGACCCACCAAAAATCATGTTGTTTTATGAGTAGGAGGATATTGATAGGACATGTTCCCTTTATTGCAGACTATGACATATGATACAACAGTTCAATATTGAATTCTTAAGATATTGATATTAAGGGGAAGCATGTTATTTTTTGCAGCTGTTAAAGGAAAGGGATTCATTGCCAAAGACATCGGATTCGTTAACACTGCAGGTGCAGCTAAACACCAAGCTGTGGCTTTAAGATCTGGCTCGGATCGTTCTGTGTTCTACAGGTGCTCATTTGATGGGTTTCAGGATACTCTCTATGCACATTCTAACCGCCAATTCTACCGTGAGTGTGACATTACAGGTACCATTGACTTCATATTTGGAAATGCTGCTGTTGTGTTCCAAAGTTGCAAAATCATGCCTAGGCAGCCTCTATTAAACCAGTTCAACACAATCACAGCTCAGGGCAAGAAGGATCCTAACCAAAACACTGGAATTATAATCCAGAAATCTAGCATCACTACCTTAGAGAATGACAATCTCACAGCTGACACATACCTTGGTAGGCCTTGGAAAGATTACTCCACTACTGTTATCATGCAATCTGATATTGGGTCATTCTTGAAACCTGTTGGGTGGGTGAGTTGGGTTACCAATGTGGAACCTGCAAATACCATCTTGTATGCTGAATACCAGAACTCTGGGTCAGGAGCAGACGTGACCCAGAGGGTCAAATGGGCTGGTTATAAGCCCACTCTCACGGACTCTGAGGCAGGGAAGTTTACTGTGGAGTCCTTTATCCAGGGCCCTGAATGGTTGCCAGATGCTGCTGTGAAGTTTGAATCTTCCTTGTGATTTTAATATGGGCCTCATAGAGATTACTAGATTAGCATCAACTGCTAATCATATTTTTCTTGTATTAGCACACTCTTGTAACTTGTATTGTATAACACGTATTTTTTTTGACCTCATTTTGAATGGTTTGTAAAATTCTTCCGGTTAATGTCAGTTTGAAAAGATATTTCAAATTTTCAAATGCAAGCTAAACATATTGAGTTATTGACTACCAAGGGAAAGCTACTGTCTGAATTTGCTGCCATATACACAAATAATCTTATGTTAAATATTTTATTCAACAATCAACTTGGGTAAAATAAATGAATTTTTAACATGACTCAAAACAATCAACTTGGGTAAAATAAATGAATTTTTAACATGACTCAAAGACGCATGGACAAATTAGGGAGTTAATTTTAAAGGGGTTTGCATTCATCATTTAACATGACAAAATTTTTTTTTCTACACACACAATATTTTGTGGGGTCTGCACTTTTTGAAGCAAAAAAAAACAAAACTAAGACATGCAAAACAAATCTCTATAACATTACACAATCACTTCTCCAACAACATAACTCTTATAAAACCCAATTTTAAATACTAATAAATACCTAACATTATCTCTACCTCAATTATATCTTCCTTCTTTAAATTATGCTAAATATAATATTTTAGGAATGAATATATATTTTTTGATATATCCATCAATTCATTTACTATTAAAGCTCAAGCTCGAAATTTTTGACAAAGGGAAATAAATTATTTACCCACAAACCTAAATCTTAAAGGGAAATAAATTATTTACCCACAAACCTAAATCTTAACACTAATTAAAAAAAATACTCGAGAAATAAAGAAAAGAAAAAGGATAGAAAGGAAAGGGGTTTATTGGTTCAATGAGTAAACATATTACACATATATTATAGGGTTTTATGCTTCTCATGTAACACAAGAAGAGAATTTTTGTTACACACCATTCGATTTCCGTATTGATATGAATCTCATACATAATTTTTTTTTTTTTAACATTTGGGTCATATATAAATTTTATCTTTACAGGATAAGGAAGCTTATATCAAGTATAAAACCTTGTATTATATATAGTCTTGCGCATTATGTTGATGTACTTCAGATTGGTTGGTTGATTCTTTAGATTTCTTTTTGATTGTTGCAAGTTGTAATATTTGAAGTCTTCTTTTCATGCTTGTTTGTTATCATCAAAATTCTTATATCTTTATATTCTTCATTAGAGCGCATTGGTTCCACACTTCCTCTACCATCGATGGATTACAGTATGTGAGCAATGGATGTTGATTGACTTGATTAATAAAGGGAATTGACACACAATATCAGAAAAATGGGCAAATAATTAATTATGAAGAGAAAGGGAGAAAAATAATGCAATGTTAACCATACAAGGAAATACTTTAGAGAAAGTTGACAAAATTTTTATTGATGTAGGTCTATATTTTATGGAACTTACCAATATTGAGGTATGACATATACGAAAATGTTTGCAGTTGGGTAGTGAACACAATAAGTAATAAAGCACAATGGAGATGCTATCATTACAATAAAAGAAAACATGATAGCAAAATAATGATAAACAAGTCATGAGATATGATTATGCTCTGATAACATGTTAAGCAACCAATTCTCTCAAAACTTTAAATTATTTAGTGAAGACAATTGAATGATTTTATATTTTTATATTATATTTCTAATATGTTTCCCACATAAGAACTCATTAGTTAGAAGGGTAGACAATGCATAAAATCGAATATTCGTGTTAAGAAATTTAACAATATTTATTAGGAGAATGGAGAGACAATGATCAAATTCTGAACTATTTAGTCAGAGGCTCATGTTAAAGTTATAAAAGGTTAGGTTATTGACGGAGGAAGGAGATGGATAATAGAAATAAAAATATTATAAACTGATATAATGAGATGCATAAAAAGATAAAGCAATAATTCCTATTCAGTATAAATAGGAAATCATTAAGTATGAAAATAAATCATTATACAAATTTGGGTATCTATACACATAATTAACCCTAATTCTAATTGATACAAAAAATGACTAATTGATATCAATCTAAATAAATATCTAACATTATTCTACCTCAATTATATTCTCCTTCCTTAAATTATGCTATATATAATATTTTAGGAATGAATATATTATTTTTATTCGAGATCAAAGTCATCAAACTCGAAATTTCTTTCTCAGGGAAATAAATTATTTACCCACAAATCCAGTGGCGGACCCAGGAAAAAAAGTTTATGTTCGCACATTAAGTGGCCGGGGTTCGGGGGCAGCGCTCCTGAGATTTTTTTTGATATAATTTTCACGTGGAGGAATTGACTTATTCAATGTAGGAAAAACATATAGGATAAATAGCAATTCTAGACAAATAGAAATATAAATTAGTAAAAAATGATGTATAAATTAAGGGAAAAGTATGTGTCATTTTAAAGGATATAAAATTGTATCATTTTAAGTGAGAGAAAGAGATAGATCAAGGAGGAGAAAGTGGACAAAAAAAATGTGAGTTCCACCTTTTTGTGAGAGTGAAATGACACAAATTCACAAATTGTGTCATTTAAATGGACAAACACTTTTTCCATAAATTAAATGTTACTAGTGAAGCAAGTATGACAGTGAAGCTATGTCCAATGATTGTTGAGTTGAGCAATTGAAGTGTGCAAACTCAGAAAATCAAGTCATCCTATCTCTTCAGTTACTACATGAAAAATAGTATTATGCTATTAAAGTTAGTGACATTTAATCTCAACACAAAAAGTATTTAACATCTGTATTGCAAAATTATCATTGACTAATATAGATATTGAACAAGAGACACGTAAGGACATATAACAAAAAAATAAAAACCTAAAATCTAAATTTCATGTCCGGACATGTGCCCCTATGTGGGTCGGCCGCTGCACAAATCTAAACCTAAATCTTAACAATCTTAAAAAAAATAAAAATAATCGAGAAATAAAGAAAAGAAAAAGGATAGAAAGGAAAGTGCTTTATTGGTTGGATGAGTAAACACAACACAGGTATTATATATAGTCTTGCACATAGACCGATGAAATTTCACTAACGGTTGGCGCCGCCTGCAAATTGATGTCGTGGACAAGGTGGTGTTGTTTCTAGATACACGCACGCGCTTGTGTCTTTCAACTTTGTGCCATCAAAATCACAACCTCATCTATTCTATTCTCTATCATCACATCTCAAACATATATAACCCATCCAATGCGGAAATCCGCTGCTCACAGATTCAGCCATCTTTTCAACCGTTCACTTGTTCTTCGTCATCTTCTTGACAATCAACATCAACATCACACCCCTTCTTCTTCTTCTTTTCTCTCTGCCTTCTCCCAATTATCCCCCTTTCGTCTCTTCTCTTCTATTACTCCTTCTTCTTCAATGGCTTCCTCTCCTTCTGATTCACCCTTCCCTGTAACCACCCATAACATCAACCCCAAGGTTTGTCTTGCCTTTATTTTCTCTTTCCAGTGCTACCCGGATTCTTATTATTTGTTTTTTAGTTTCTAGGTGTGCTAAAGTTGCAAGCTTTGAACTTTCTGATTGTTTTATTTTTCTGGGCATTGACTTGATGTTCCTGCCTACATATGGGGTTTGCTTTAGAGTCTGCTTTCTTAATTTCTACATGTATTTCCTTGAGATTGAATGTGTGATGAGTTTATTGGTCAAAGGGTCAACCTTTGATTAAATTATCTTTGTTTTTTTGGTTCACAAGGATTGTTCATTATTTTTATTGATCTGTGACTGTGGGTTTACTCTGATCTTTTTTATCTCCGTTGATCTCTGTCTAGTAGCGGGACTGATGTTGGACTAATAGCTCAAATCTCTCTAGTATTATACTCCACTCAGTATTTTTTGCTTTGTTATTGTGTTCAACACTAGGATGACTACAATAAATTAGCAAAAGAGATGAGTCTTATTAAGATTATACTTCCAATAGAGGCAGTTTTAACAAATAGTTGGATGATTTTTGTCTATTGAAGTAGATTCTTCTTTTTCAACAAATAGCTCATTTATCTCTAGTATTATACTCCATTCAGTAGTTTTTTGCTTTGTTATTGTGTTCAACACTGGGATCACTAAAATAAATTGCAGCAAAAGGGATGACTTGATGAGTCTTATTAGGATTATAGTTCCAATTGAGGCAAGTTTAACAAATAGTTGGATGGTTTTGTCTATTCAAGTAGATTCTTCTTATTAAAAAAACAAGTGTTTATTTATTTTATTCATAAATTATGATTGAAGGCCAGAATATTTGCCCCACTTTTTTTTTTTTTAGCCAAGTTGGTTTCGCTGTCACCAATTTTTATTCTTCAGTTGCTTATTTGAAACTGTCTTTTTCCTGTATAGGTTCTGAAGTGTGAGTATGCTGTTCGAGGAGAGGTTGTCACACTTGCCCAGGTACTGTGAATTGGTTGTACATGTTAGAATTAGGTCACTCATTGAAAAGTTATTCTTGTCTTGACACATTCCATGATAAAAACATTTTATCCTTTACATTGACAAATTAACCGTTAAACGACTGCTAAGTGCTCTTCTGACACTGAACTAAGGGCACTGCTTTTGCTGTAATATAGCTTGAAAAATGAAGTTGTCTTTGTTGTTTAAACTTTAAAGTTTGAAATGGATCTCTTCATAATTTTCTATAGGAAATTATTACAATATCTCTCCTTACAATTCTTTAATGCTGCAGAATTTGCAACAAGATTTACAGGCAAATCCAGGCTCTCATCCATTTGATGAGGTACTTTTCTTTTTCAACTTCATCTCTTCTGGAGTAGAACTCTCTTGGTTTTTGATTCTCAGGATTACTTCTCAAGGGCAACTTGGTGCTATAAAACTCCTGATATTATGGGGTCCATGGTGGCCTTTCCGACTGTTGCACCAGGGCTCCACTTCTATGATTAATTATTTATTTTTACCCTTAATTCTTTGGATCTAGTGCAATATTATATTATGATGGAAAGTAAATGGAATAACAGCAGTTGCATAAGTTGGGTATTAGTATTACAATTTCAATTTGGCTTTGGCATGCTGCTATTCCACATCTCTTTAGTTATAATATAGTTTGTCATTGTAAACGGGGAACCTTCGCAGGGGATTTGTTTGGAAAGCTGACCAATGAAATGAGCTAATTCTGCAGGATATATTTTTATCATTTTGGCTTAGGAAGTCACTTTTAGGATGACGAGAGAAATACTAGAGGCACTTTTTTTTTAAAATTTATTTTAAAATCTTTTCCCCTAAAGGTTGAGGGGTAAAGTCTATCTGTGATTTCTCCTGCACCTCCAAGATTGGATAAATGTGTTCGTATGTGACATACTGCACTTCTGTTTCGTGAAGATGTTTTTCTACTTTTGTTTTGTTTGTTATTTTTTTTTTTTTTTTGCCTCACTTCTCTTTTATCTGAAAATAGATCATTTACTGCAACATTGGAAATCCTCAGTCTCTTGGTCAGCAGCCAATAACTTTTTTCCGAGAGGTTAGTTTCTCCTAATTCTCTGTGGTGAATGAATCAAACTTGACACAAATTAAGCAATGCTTAGTATGATCATCTGATATTTGTCAGGTTCTTGCATTATGTGACTATCCTGCTATGTTGGACAAAAGCGAGACACAGGGTTTGTTCAGGTAAAAGATAAAATAAAACTAAGTTGCAGCATCTAGATAGCGAATCATAACAAATATATTAAAGCATGAATCATCTACCCATTGTAGCTAACACTAACAAATAAAGGTCTAGGAGCATTATCTTCAATTTGATTATAATGTATAGTTGACTTTCTACAAAACCTGTGAGTATAGAATTAAGACAAAAATTGAAGTTGACTGTATCGATGAATTTAAGATTTATGATCCCTTTTTGCAATAGTGCAACCTATCATCTGAAACAGAGTAAAATTTGCTTTTGTTACTTATATCTAAGTTGTAGATTTTAATATTCCTCTTCTTTATAATTATCTTTTTTCCTGTATGGTTTCCCTTTGACCTATTGCAGTGCTGATGCAATAGAGCGAGCTTGGCAGATTGTGGGTCAGATTCCTGGGAGAGCAACTGGTGCCTATAGTCATAGTCAGGTATTGATTGGGTTATCTAATTTGGTTTATATCTTTACTATACATGGGGTGGGCCGTGAAATTGTTCTTATTTCCATATCAGGGTGTTAAGGGCCTTCGTGATACAATAGCCGCTGGAATTGAAGAGCGCGATGGTTTTCCTGCCAATCCCAATGACATTTTCTTGACAGATGGGGCAAGCCCAGCAGTATGTTTCTAGTTGCTTTTGATATTTTCTTTTTTGGTTTTAAAGCTGTCATGGAGTTTGTTTCGTTTAAAATCTGAATAAGTTTTGAAGACTATCATTTCTCTATTTTCAGGTCCATATGATGATGCAATTACTCATAAGATCAGAGAATGATGGTATTCTGTGTCCCATCCCTCAGTATCCTCTGTACTCAGCTTCGATTACCCTCCATGGTGGCAGCCTAGTAATGTTTTCTCTATACAATCGCATGATGCATAGTTTAATTTGGATCACTATTTAGATGCATTGTAAAGATTTAGCAGGCTATGGTCCATCTATGACTATGACTAGACAAATCAGAAAAAATGGTCTACATATCTTGACATATTCATGTGCATGATTGGATAGCAATCACTTGAAACTTTGAAATATTGAATTTGTACTATCTTGTTATAATAGTTTGATATTGGTTGGAATATCAGTTTAACTTTGATTTTGTTTCTAAAGGTACCTTACTATCTAGATGAAGCAAGTGGTTGGGGATTGGAAATATCTGAAGTCAAGAAGCAGTTGGAGGATGCCAAGTCCAAGGGCATCAGTGTTAGGGCTTTAGTTGTTATAAACCCTGGCAATCCAACAGGGCAGGTGAGCTGCAAAGAACTGTGGTGTTAATATGGAGGATGCTTACTGCTTAGAATGTGAAGTTAGGTTGATTAATTTTAATAACATGGATTTTCTGTCATGCTTCCAGGTTCTTTCAGAGGAAAATCAGCGGGATATAGTAGAATTTTGCAAGCAAGAAGGTCTGGTTCTTTTGGCTGATGAGGTAACTGGACTGATTTTGAAAATCCTGGATATTCATTCAAATTGATTTTAAACCAGTTGAAGTTCATAAAACTTGGAAATGACAGTTATTGAATTGTATCTGAACTTTTTCTGATGTCAAAGCATATGCTTCAGTCTTACTATATACATGTCTGGAAGCGCTGTTTTATTGATGCTTATATGGCATAATACTATTCAAATGCATGAAATTCATTTTGTAGGTATATCAAGAAAATGTTTATGTTCCTGAAAAGAAATTTCACTCTTTTAAGAAGGTATCCCGGTCCATGGGATATGGCGAGAATGATATCTCCCTAGTATCTTTTCAATCAGTCTCCAAAGGTAAGTTGGTATAACAATAGATTTATAATAGCAAGAGAGAATCGACTTTTATGCCAGTATTTGATGCATGCTGATGGAAGATGTCTTTGTCTTTGTCTTTGGCTTCAGGCTATCATGGGGAGTGTGGGAAACGAGGAGGTTATATGGAGGTGACTGGGTTTTCTGCAGAAGTGAGGGAACAGATATATAAAGTGTCATCTGTCAATCTTTGTTCTAATATCTCCGGTCAAATTCTTGCAAGCTTGGTCATGAGTCCGCCTAAGGTTAACTCATTGCCTCTTAAAGTCAAATATTATTTCGGGTTTAATGCATCAGTTTTTAGTATAGAAAGAACATTAAACATTATACTGTGAAGGATACGGGGTTGGTATGAAAAATCACCATTTCAATCATTCCGTTACTAGTTTAATATTAATTTCCCTTCACACTTAACGTTCAGTGAATTCAATGGATATCTGCAGGTTGGAGATGAGTCATATGAGTCATACATGGCTGAGAGGGACAGTATTTTATCCTCCCTTGCTAGGCGTGCAAAGGTTAGTTACCTGTAAAAGAAAATTGAGATAGTAAAGACAACCAAGAACAATTTTTCTGTTTCAGGAGCAGTAATTTATTCTCCTACACTATAAGATCACCTGTATCTACTAAAATATTTACAATTTTTATTATCCCATTGACGCATTCCCACTATGACTAAAATATTTTACCAGTTTTGTTGCATAACTTTTTTTTCTTGATTTGTTGCGGACAGACACTGGAAGAAGCACTTAACAATTTAGAGGGTGTAACATGTAACAAAGCAGAAGGGGCAATGTATCTGTTTCCCCGTATTCGCTTGTCTGAAAAGGCTATCAAAGCTGCAGAGGCTGCAAATTCAGCACCTGATGCCTTCTATTGTAAACGCCTGCTTAATGCCACTGGGGTAGTTGTTGTTCCTGGTTCTGGTTTTGGACAGGTTAGCTTATATTCTGATATATTGCAAATGCCTTATCTCCTTAATTTTACATCTGATATAATTTATTTACTGATTGGCCAACAAAAGAGGATGAGTTTAGAGTAGCGATAACATTCTTCTTGTGACCGGAAGGTCACGAGTGAGTCTAGAAAATAGTTTTTTTGTAAAAAATACAAGAGTTAGGCTATGTACAATCGACCCTCACCTTTACTTTCACAAGTTGGGGAGCCTTGTGTATCGGGATTTGTCTCTTTTTATTGGCCAACAAAATTGATGATTGGTTCTAACTAAGTTGCATTTTAACTAAATAAAAGTGTTCAGTAATATAAACTAAGTATTTAGTAATATAAACTGATTGTATTATTAAATTGTTGTGTCTTGCAGGTTCCTGGAACTTGGCATTTTAGGTGCACCATATTGCCTCAAGAAGATAAGATTCCGGCCATTGTCACCCGCTTGACAGATTTCCATAAAAAATTCATGGATGAGTTTCGTGGTTGAGGACTCTTGCTTGAATTTTTTTTTTTTTTTTTCAAAACCCAACTGATATTTTACATTGATGGATTTTGTGCTTGAAGAAACTAGTCCCTCATTATTTACTGACTGAATAAATGTGTTAGTTCAACTTATAATTGCATTTTGAATATCCAAGACGTGAATGGAGATATGGTTTTCTCCATTCTTTTCCTTCATTGTGATATGCCATGTATATTTTTTTTTATTGTTGTTTTTTAATTCAAGCAAAACATTTTTTTTGACTAAATAAAGATTCACTATCAAGATATAAATAATTCACATACAAATTATTATTATTTGTTTTCTTGTTATTAAGTTTTTTCTTGAAAGATATATAAATTTTTGTACTAATTTAAAATTTTATATTTAATTTATTATATAATATTAAAATATATATTTATTTATTTTTTGGTAAAAATATTAAAATATATATTTAACTATCAATCAGTTTACAGACGTAACGACTCCTACAAAGATTATTACATGCTTTATATTATGTTTTACTATTTTATGGTTCGGCTTATACAAATGTAGGTGACCCTGATATTGATTTTGACCAGAGGTGTCAAAATAGGTTGACGTTTGTGGCTCAGCCTGGAAAGTGTTATATTAGCCTGGAAAGTGTTATATTAGGCTTTAAACTGTTAAGAGTCTTTTGATGGTAGGTTTTTTTTTTTTTTTTTTTATCTTAACTTTCAAAGCTCTATAATTTAGCAGCTTAAGTTAGGGTTAATTCGCGAATCAAAATTTTCCTTTCAATCAAATTTTTATTATTTAAAAAATTAAAAATAATATAAATTTAAATATTTATAAATATAAAATAAAGATTTTAATGTTTCTACAGTGAATGTAGATAACTTATTTACATTTCCTTTCAAAATGATATTGTTTTGAGTCGAAAAATTAAAAAATTATAATGAAAAAGATTATTATAACCCTGAAATAAATTATAATTACAAAAATATCTTGATTTTTACTTTTAAACGACGTTGTTTTGGGCTCAATGTAGATAAGTTATCTACGATTTAGAAAAAATGAATCATAAAATAAGTTACAAATATAATATAAGTAAAAATTACTCTGAATGTGATGAAGAATATAAGATAAAGTGAAATATGAAAGACAGAAAAATGAAGTGTAAAAAAAAAAAAAAGAATAAGATAAGATTAAGTATGAGTGACAAGGAAGTATTATTATATTTTGAATTCACGTAGTATTATTTTTTCCATCTAAGATATATCCTTATATAGGATTCTAAACATAATCAGGGGAATAATTACAATTCAACACATTATTTGTGTAATGGTTATAATAGCCCATATTAATTAATTAGGAAATCAAGTGTAATTAATTAATTAAACATGTTTTAGTGAGTAAAATTAAGTATAATGCTAAATTAAATAAATCTGAATCACTTTGGAGTTAAAAAGTGTACTCAGTGAAAATTAAGGGGTATAAATGGGTACTGGCAAAAGTACCCAAAATATAAAAATAAAAATAGTAACATCCCTAGAATAATATTCCAGACTTTTGGAAAGTTTGGTAATTATTGGAGTTGAATAGATAGACGAACCAATACCCGCTTAAAGCCACTTAACCTATGTTAAGTGACTTAAGCTACCAAATGACCCCCATTTCCCCCAAGTCCCGTCGCCAGAAAACAAAGAGAAGGAGAAGAAGAAGGAGAAAGAAGAGGAAAGAAGGGAGGAAGAGAGAGAGAGAGAGATCAAACCTTGATGGTTTTGGATGATTCAAAAGCCTAAATCGCTTAGAATCTCGCTCTCTTTCATAATCCTAGCTTTGTTTTGAGTGGGGAGCATTGTGGAGAGAGATATTACCTCTCAAAAATTCGGCCCTTTGGTGAAAATTGGGGTTTTGAGAGTTTCTACCTCCATTGAAGCTTGAGGAGCCATCAATCCTTGGTTGTGCGACCATTGGTGGTAAGATTCTAACCCTTGAACCTCATGATTCCTTGAAATTTGCATGAGTTAGGGTTTGTGAATAGTAAATTGGGATTTTTATGAAATGTAGTTGAATTAGCTATGTTCTAGGAAGAATGGAGCTTAGAGCATGTTATGGAAAATGCTAGGAATGTCATTTAATCGGTGGAAATGAGCCTAGATAGTCATTTGATAATTGTTCATAATATTGGAAAATTCATGCTTGGATTGGTTAGTATTCTAGCATGTTGAACAATTAGTGAGTTGAATGATTGATTGGATCCTTGTGATGTCTAGGATTGAGACATTTGGACCAACCGTGAGTGATCAACCATTGGAGCAAGCTATGGAGCTTGAATAGCTCATTGGAATTGGTAAGCTCATACTTGTGTTGTGCTTTGAATTGAGTAATTGATGGTTGATTGTGAAATACTTTTGGATGCAATGTGTTGATTGCATTACACCATGTGTAGGTGTATGTTTGTAAAAGTTGATTGCTGAAACTGTTGGTGAAGAACATAGGTTGACTGAAGCATTGAGGTAAGCCTTCGGACCTTGGGTGTAATTCCCTTGATTGTTCCACCAAGCCCTGAAAGGGTAGTGGTGATTATAGTGTATATAAATGCAATAAAATAGTGTAATGCTTTGTTATACGTATGTGTATGCATTTGGTGTGGCATAGGATGGTGTTTCCCTATGTTGGTATGTGGCATGACGATGCGTAAATCATACTTGGTAGTTAGCTGGCCAGTAGGACTATTTGCATCTGAGTTTCCTTAGGACAGCTTGAGAGCTCGAGGGATTTCTCCTGGAGATGTATTGCACTTTGCATAGATATGTATTTACTGCATTATTATTGTTATTGCTATTATACTGATATGGAACTGTGGGGGTGGAGAGATGCTCCAAGGACCCCTGGTTTACTGGATATATTCGTATATCTCACCCCGTGTTGTGGGGACCCCCTTTCAGGTAAGGATGCTGCAGGAGCCTCTGGTGGCAAGTGGCCATATCTGGATTATGCATGAAATGTGGCACTTCTTTTGAGTTTATGCATGCCTTTTGTAGTTGACATGTATAGGATTTTATTTTGAAAGCCCATGGTCATTTGTATATCTTGATTCATTGGATGAACTTAGCCTATGCTCATGCCTTTGGTTGCACCTTTTGTTGATGGGAGCCAAGGGAATGATCATAGTGTTTTGTAAGCTAAGTTCTATGATTTGTAAAGGATATGTAATGTAAATGATGCCTACTTGAAATTCAATATATGCATGCTTGTTATGTATTGAGTTGTTGAATTGGTTGGGCTGAAAATCAATTAGGTACCCCTTTGTTTAAACTGGTAAACGATGAGAAAACAAAGGTCATGCTGCCCAAATTCTAGCTAAATCTCATGAGGAGAGGTTGGATGAGTGCTAGGATTTAGTTTTGGGGCATGGACAATTGGGGTTTGTAATGGGGATGCATTTTCCCCTAGGCTTGGACTTGAGAAATGTGGGAATTGGAATTCCCTGGCAGCGCGCTTAAGCGCCCAGGAGCGCGCCCAAGCGCCCTGCTGCCCCTGCGAGTGCCAATGCATTCTGCCTCCTCGCGCTGGAGCGCCCAAGTGGGGGCTTAAGCGCCCAGGATTGCGCGCTGGAGCGCCCTGGCTCGCGCTTAAGCGCCCTTTGCTGCAGAAAGTTGGGATGCTTACTGTCCCCTCGTGTTTTAGCGCCCAGGGTGGGGCTTAAGCGCCCAGGGTTGCGCGCTTGAGCGCCCTGGTCCGCGCTTAAGCGCCCTTAGCCACTGTAGGAGGAAATGCTTCTGTCTCTGCGCGCTAAAACGTCCCAGTGGGAGCTTGAGCGCCCAGGCTAGCGCGCCCTGTTGCGCGCTTAAGCGCCCATCCACACTGGAAACGCTGATGCTTACTGCCTCCGTGCGCTTAAGCGCCCAGATGGAGGCTTTAGCGCCCGATAGCGCGCGCTTGAGCGCCCGGTAGCGCGCTGAAGCGCGCGGGGCCTGTGACCAACACTCTCTTGTGTTGCTTCAAATTGTCCTAACTTGGACTACAGTGCTCCGATTTGAGCACGGTTTGAAGCCACGGGTAGCTAATGAAGAAACCTACAATATGGTAGAAGTATTGAATTAAACAAGAAGTAAATTAATGGTTTAAAAATGGGAAATGAACATGATGTTAAGCATAATTTATCTGTTTCCGCAAGGTAATATGGTTATGATCACGAAATTGGGTATTATAAGTTCGGTACGTTTTAAAATGAAAAATTTATCCGGATTTTAATTGAACCCATGTGATTGTAACTGCGCTTAATATCATAATGCGATGTTAACAAACCGGTTCTAGAACGGGGTGTTACAATGGTTATAGAAGTCATGAAAAATAATGAGTCACGTATTATGAACCATGTAAAAGGTCATCCAAAATATTTCAAAACTCTTCCTTGGATGTATTCTACAATTCAACACGGTGTTATGGTTATAAAATACATCAAATGTCATGAAAAACAAAGAGTCACATGTTATGAACTATACGAAAGGTCATCCATAATTCATGTGAAAGGTTAGCCATAAAATTTTACAACACTCCCCCTTGAATGTATTTTACAATTCAACATACCGTTAGTGTGATAGTTATAGAATGTATCAAAGATCATGAAAAATAAAAAGTCACATATTATGAACTTTGTGAAAGCTTATCCATAATATTTTACACTAAAAATGAATTTTCAGCAGTGATATGTTTCAACAGAGAATTAATCCGCGCATCAATAAAAATGAAATTTTCTATTAATATTTAAGCATGTTATATATCCAAATTTGTATTGAAACATATTGTATACAATGCATTTTAGTAATTTTGTGGATAATAATAACTAAAATGTTTTTTGTAAGGGTAGTAGTTGAAGAAAATTAATAGTTTTACTTTCAAATATATAGCATACTGCGAGCAATTATTCAATGCTAGTATTAAGATCATTTTTTCATTATTACTTTTAGTTTTCCAATACAGTATTTTGTGATGACTTTTAGTGAGAAAATCTTTATTTGATAACCTTATTTAATAATGAATTTAGTAAAAGTAATAACTAAATTTTCATTTATATTAAAATTGTATTTACATTTCCACTTGTATATTTGTGTACAAATATTATTTTATTAAAAAGTTATATTATAAAAAAATAGATTGAGTCCTATCATTCTCTTTTCTCTCTCCTCTTACCTGTGGGTCCCACTTATAATTTTATTTCTATATAAGATAACTTTTTTTCCTACAACATAAGAAAAATATTTTCCGTAGTTATTAGGGGTGTTATAATGTTGCAATAAACTCCTCATTGTTTGGGAGTGGATCCTTTTATGAGTTATCTATGTCATATGGGAGAAGCATAGTCATATAAAGATGAATCAATAATAATGATAAGGGAAGGTAGAGAGAAAATATGAGGATATGTAGTTACAAAATCATCAACGTTGATTCATCATTGTATGGTTAGAATTCTCTCACATGACATAGTCATGTTAAATAACACATGAGATGATCCATTTTCTATCATCCTACACTCTACATTAAAAATTGAGAAAGATTTAGAGGGGATGCATTGGATTGAGATTTTAAAGGATTTTAATGAATTATTTTTGAACAAAAAAATTCATTGGTATTCAATTAGAATTTTAAAGGACTAAAAAAAAGTCATGTGATATTCTATTAGAATTTTAAAATATTATTTTAGAGTTCATCCAAATCTGTTGGTATTCAATCAGATTCTAAACAAAGGAAAAACAATCTTGTGGAATTCAAAAATCTGACGATTTTAATGGATTTTCTATTGGTGTGAATTTCGTGAGACTTTTTAGTGAGAAATATAAATAAGACGCCTCTCTCATAATCTTACCCCAACCGCTAGAATTTCTTGAGATTTCTCTGTTGCAGTGTTTTCTTCTTCCTTTGGCGGGTTGACCCATTCAAAACCGGGTTCCGTCATGGGAGTTTCGTCAAAGTTCAAAAATAGTAAATTTTTAAGCGATTTTTATCACAAAACAACCCAGAAAAACCAACAAGATTCTAATAAAATCCATCTAAAAAATAGCATATTTTTGAGAGCTTTTAGAAGTTTAAAAAATGATTTTTCAAGCTATAGGTCACGATTTGTTTTGGTACAAAAATGTATGATTTTTGTATTAAAAATCACATAAAACCCTCAACCAAATTTTCCTTTTACATCAATGAAACAAGATCAATTTAAAAAAAAAATCGAAACTTTCATAATATTAACCGTATATTTCGTAACAATACATTCATGAACGAAATTTCTTTACTATAGGAAACGATTTCAAACAATTTTTGTATCAATAGAAAACTAAAAATTTATTTTTCAAAAGCCTCAAAGCAATTTAAGGTTTTAATGTATCGATTGAAAATAATTTGAAATTTTTTCTAAACTTTCATGTAATAAAACCCAGAAATTAGATTTAAAATTTTCTTAGAATACTCAATGAAAATATGCATATGATATATGGTTAGAACAAAAACTCTCATCACGTAGAACAAAAACCCCAAGGTTTCCAAGATCAATTGCAAAATATTCCAAACGAAATTTTATCATGAACTTTGAGTTCTATATGCAAATTTAGAATTATTTTAATAAATAAATAAAAATTGGGTCTTATAATCATATAAGCATAGCTTTGATACCAAATGAAGAAGATAATTTTTAATTCATTGGTCAAACCCAAAAACATGAACAAGAAAATGTTAATGCATGGAGGATTCGTATAACTTTAGATATATAAAGAGTTGTTGCTAAGTAATTTTAAATATTTGTTAAAAATTATATTATGCTTCACTGATTGAGAAAATTATATTAGATTTTACATTTTTTTATTAATATCATTGCATTTTTTTATTTTTTTATTGATTCTTGTAATTTTGAATATTTGTTAAAAATTCATATGATTTTTTAAAATCTTGTAAATTCATATTGTCTTTTCAAATCTTATCAATTCTATTCAAATCCTTTAAAATCCAATCTTATGAAATATTGATTGTAAAAAATATCTTTTAAAAAAGTCTTTAAAGTCCGTCCAATTATAAGTAGTCTTTTAAAATACATAAGATTTTTTATCTCAAAAAAATCTTTCAAAATCCTAATCCAATACACCCCTTTAAAAAAAGAAAAGAAAAAGTACAAGGCCTGGGAAAAACCATTCGGTGTGTTAGTGCGTGGATATTTTAGAGTGTGAATTATTCAGTAAGTCATTAATATTTTTTTGGTACATTAAGGTATAAATGTTGTGTTAGTGCTAATAATAATGGTGTAAAAGTATTGGGAAATCATATTCTTATTTTACATATATTGCTTTTTCATGCTATACTTACATTGAATAACATGTTATTTCTTTAAATTTTTTTTAAAAAATTAGTGGATCCCACCTCAATTGTATTAGTAGGAGATAAAATTTCTTTACTACATCATGAGAAAAGTAATCTCAAAAATATTATACCAAAAAGTCAAAACGGGAAGGCGATTAAAACAAGCCAAATTTACTAGGGTGATGTTTTAGACATCAAATAGTATCCGAAGTACACATGGACCAGGTTTTGGATATGAGCCTCTTTACCAATTAATTTATTCTTAGGAATCAAATTAATTACTCTTTTTGCAGATTAAATAGCCCTAATCTTAAGATCAAATTTTAAGGCCTCACTGGAAGGTCACTATAGCAAGTATTAGGCAGGGTAACTCCTTTATTTGTTAAAATTAGGTAAGTTGGGTTTAAAAATATCAACTGATTTAAACTAATTCATTTTTAGCTCGACTCGTGTAATCCGCGAACTAAGTTCACGTAACCTCGTTAACTGAGAATCTGAAAAGTGAGATATACCCTTTGTTGTTTACTTGGCAATTTTGCATTTTTCGAGTTCCTAATCCAAATACAAAACGACACAAGAGTGAGAACAAGAGAAAAAAAAAAACACAAAAAACAAAAACCGTATCACTTTCCCATTTCAGGTTTCAGAACTTTTGTGCTGTCCATGAGTTAGATGAATGATAGTTATTAATCTTATGTCACATAAAATTGTATAATGAAACAAAATTGTGAGACTCATAATTTAAGAAAAAGAAAAAAGAAAAAATATATATAAGATTTTATAAATGTGCAATATAAGCAACTATCTTATACGACGTAAAACAATTATTTCCCTAAATGTAATGTACCGTAAGTGGATCTGAAATTCTGTCATTTCTTAGAATTGTGGAAATATTTTCATTTAAAAAAAAATATTAGAATGGAAAAAGAAAAAAAAAATTATTCTCACAAGTCACAAGTGTCAAGTGATCAATATATCATTGTTATATTTAATTGTAGTTATTATTACAAGGAAAGCAACCACAAGCACTGTGCCTCGAAAATTGTGAGTTATGCCTGTGAATCATCTTTTGAGCTTGTTCAGTGGCTTTTTGGATTTGCTCCAAGTGTTGTTGTCTAGCTGCTGTTCTCCATTCCTCAGCTTTCCTGTGAACAACTGACATCTTCTTCATCAACTTCTCTTCCAGGTTTGACCTCATCTTTTGTATTTTCACCTAAGCAATATTTTCAATAAAACAAGCTTAGTTTCAATTATATAGAATATATTTATAAATTTTTTATTTATAAATTCTTACAAATTATATTATATATTATGAAAATTACATTCTTACATTCTTAAATGAGTATACTTCACGAAATACATCATGTAGTTTATAAATACAAAATTAATAAATATAACTTTTATCGTGCTTTTGAATGGTTTTGAGCACTTTTTAATCAGTTTATAATAAGAATTGAAAAGACAACATGTCAAGTAGTTTTCAACTTGGATTTTGTTTTTATTATATTATTATTATGGTCTGCATAGAATAGTGGATCGATTCCTCATCTAGAAACCATTGTGCAGCTGTCCAATTTTTGAACCATGGAAAATAAAAAACAATGCTTCTTGTCTTCTTTCACATATTTCTCACATAAAATATATCATAAGCATTCTGAACTCAATTGCAATTCTTTTATTGTTTTAATCATTCCAAAATATTATACATATGACATATCTTATACTGTGCAATAATCATTGTGATTTTATGTTTAAGTTGTTATAACTTATAACTCTAGCTAACTCAGATACTCCAAGTTTCCCGCGAATTTCGAAATGTAATGTTCACATGTGCTCCCTAATATAATATTAGGAACATTATTACTTTTGGTTTATTTTTTATTTTTTTATGAAGGGAGAGAAGCATGAAGATATAGATGTATTAGATTGAGGAAGACAAAGACTGGTCAAGAAAATAATAATAATGGTGTCCATGAGTTGGGGGGTGGGGCTCGAGGAAATAGGCCAAGTGGCCTAAAACATGTCCTGCGAAGCATTCGATTGTTGTCAAAAGTTCACACTAGGAGCTAATGTACAAAACTTGTATGCATAGTGAAAATTGTCTTGGGTATGTATGTATATGTTCAGGACAACAAGGCTACACCATGTGCATTACACAGTGATCTGCTCTTACAAACAGTTCAAACTGCTTGCAAAATGATAACTTGTACTTACAAATTGTCACATTTTCAGATTTAAATGCCAATAGCATGTGCCAAGAAAATGGAGGGTAGGAAGACCAACTAAAAAATTTAACAATTCTAAGCGGATTTCATCTCCTGATTAGAGAGCAACTTGTACTAATATTTAATTTAATTTAGAGAGTAAGAGATGGGGTTGAGCTCTGGTCATTTGGTCAACAATTACTGCAATGGCTTAGAATGGCATTTTATATCACACTATTGATATCTTCAACTGGAATTTTTAATGATAGGCTGAATACAAATCATTGCAAAGTAAGCATACTTCATAAGAAAAATGAATGGCAATGAAATACCTCAAGCTTTCTTGACCTGGCTTCTGCTTTAGCATTTTGAAGGTTTACCCAGGCTTGGATTCTTGCTTCTTCTCTCTGATACCTGAAACAACTCAAATGACAATTTAGTTCTAGCCATACATATCAAATGAAACTACAATATGCTGAAACTTTTTTAAGGTTTAGTTACCTAAGACAGCACTTGGTCTTCTCCTCTTCTTCCCATGTAGAAGCCATGCAGTCTGAATCAGCTTTCTGGCTAGCATTGTGTCTCAAGCTTTTTGATATTTCCTTTTCTTCCTCTTCACTTGAGCTCCAATTTGAAGTGACTAAATCATATTGTGATCCTAGTTTCAGCTTAGAAAAATGGCACTCCTCCAGTTGAATAACATCAACAGTGCAGGCAGTGCTATTGGGGTTAGCCAAGGCCAATGGTCCTGACCTACTTGCAGGAGTGTTATGGCGAGCTGGGGATGAACTCTTAACTGGGGTGTGGCATCTTGAAGTTGTGGAACTTCCCAGAGGAGTCATCTCCGTCCCAACATCTCTATGTTGAATGTCATGAATCACTTCTGTACAAGCATTTTGCATTGCCTCACCAGCTTGGTTTCCAAAATTAGGCAAAATGGGTTCTATGCTGTCTGTGAACTTATCTGCATTGCAATTAACTATATGTCAAATGAGTTGTTATCTTAGTAAAAATTGAACCCCATTATTTATACCATTCAATTTCAAATACACCCCCAATACCAATAGGATGAGAAGTTTGGGTTCTCTTCCCATTTTTATACATGAGATATATCATCATCTTATTGTTAGTAAGTTGCAACAGTACCAGAGCAAGTTATCATCATGCTCAACAACTAAGTAAACAAGGAAATAAGAACCTGTAAAATTTTTGAATCTTCACCCTACCCACAACCAAATTATGCTAAATTGAGACTACCTCCCAAACTAGTTCATAAATTTGCAGCTTCAAAACCCAAATGAGTCTTAAAGCTGATTAAACTATAAAAGATGAAAAAGTTTTAGTGTAAGAAAAAGGTTTGGAAATTAATAAAGACAAAAGAGAAAAGATGCAGGATGATAATGATGGCAAAAAGGGTAGGATTGAAAATAATGAAAAAGGCAATGCAAACAGGGCAAAGGTCAAATTTTGAAGTTAAGATTGTTATCCCCACCTTTTAGTACTATGTCTGTTGGGCATGAGACCACATTGAATGCGCCGAATGAGTTATGGTGGTCCAAAGATGAAGACCTTTGGAAGTTTGGGACAGCTTTGGATACCCTTCCCTGTGTGACCCTTGATTTCTCCGACAAATCCAACATTTGGTGCTTAAAGTTATCACATTGTTTGGTGCTGATCTTTGAGGACTCTGATGATACCTTCATGTTGTTATGAGCAGGTGAGTCATGGCATGAGGTGCTCATGAGCCATTTCTCTGCATCATCCCATTTAGAAGGGAAGCTCTTTCTTGAAAGGTTTCTTCCAACGCTAGAACTGAAGCTGAAAACGGGTCTACCAGGTGTGGGTGGAGCCTCTAGTCTCCTTTGTTGTGTGACAGAGTTGTTGTTGTTGTTGTTGTTGAATCCTTCTCTCCTCTGTGCTGAAACCTCAAGAAAGCTTCTGCTTTCTGCATAACCATTTGGCATTGGAAATGACTTGACAAACTCAGAGGTTTCCCTGAGATTGAGTTTGCAAAGTGGGTCAGGGAAGGCATCTACAAATGGGTTGTCTTTGTTTTTCCCATACAAGCTCATGTTGCCTTCAAAGGGTGATTCCTGAACCACAAAAAAGGATCCCAAAAGATGAGAAGTGAGCAAAGAAAAAACTTGTAATGGTGAACAAGTGAATTGAAGATAAAAGACATGATATGTAGGATCTTTACCCCATGTGGCACCAACACAGATGAAGCTTGGAAGAATTTGTGGCTGGGGAGGTCCATTGCAGTGAGTTTGAGCTTATTGATGTGATGTGAGAGAAATGGACTCTCTCTCTAGTGAAGCCTGGCTAGTGTTAATAACCCTGGCCCTCTGGTTCAGTTATCTGCTTTAGTCATACGATGTTTAAACACTTGGTCAAGAGAAAGTGACAGTGTAAAAAAAAAAGCATTAGACTTAGTTGGAATAAGGGTCTTAACTCTTAAGTAGGCACATTAACAAAATGACTCACATGTAAGGGGCAAAAAAACACAGCCCTCTCTTCAAGCTACTGTGTCACAAACCCTCCTTAGTCTTTTCCATCTCTAGGAGAATGTGGATTGGATGGGGAAGAAGACAAAAGAATACATTATAAAAAAAGAGGGAGCTTTGGGAGGACATGTATATTGGAAATAATTTAAGAAAGAACATCAAAATGTGTGGCTGTCAGAGACTAATAGCTCACACTGAGGACACATCAAAATTAAAACAGCAGGAAATATGCCAATAGAAACAATGAATTATAAATTCTATATTTTCTGAATTAAATATTCTAATTTCTAAATGAAGCAAGTATTATATATATATATATAGATATTTTTTTTTTTTCACCACTGATTATCTCATAGATTCAATTCTTTGAGTCGTCTATAGATTAATTCGGAATTTGAGACGAGTCGAGAATTAAAATTTTATGTCCCTTTTTTCAAAATGACATTGGTGGAGATTAAATTGATATCTTTTTTCACTCACTCAGCTTCGTTACATCAAGTGAATAATATTGTATAATTCTTATGTCTTTAGATTATATTACTAGTTGTTATTTTATTTTTTTGAAGTTCTTCTAGTGTTGGAATTGGTTGTAAATTTGGATTCCTACTTTCTAGCTTCTAACCTCTCGGACTATCTCCTAGGCCTAGCTGGCATGCCTAATAATTTATGTAATATGTTATTTCACTTCTAGCTGTCATTTCTGCTTCGCCCCACAAGAAAATGGCCATTGTTTAATATAGAAGGTGGACTTACACTTAAAATATCAATCTACATTAACATATTTATTAAATGTGATTATTTTTGTATTCCATATAAAACATTCATTTGTCTTTACACTTTGATCTTATGAACAAGGTGGAAAATCTGTTTTGAAGCAAAGAAGTCTGCTGCGGCTGAATCAAATCAAATCATTCTACTTTAGACTTAATTCAATGCCCTTACTTATTTTGGTACCTTCTCCCGCAGTTATAAAGTCAGGTTGCCTAGGAAAAGAAATAACTTATTTAGTTTGAAGTTTGAACAAAAGACTGTTTCTTTCACTGACAATAAAAATATGAAGGGTAAATTATACTAAGGAAAAAATGTAAATGTACCCCTTAACTTTACCTTTTTTTGTTTTGTTTTTGGATACACTATAACTTTAGCTCTTTTGAAAGATGTATTTCTGTGAGTTTTGCAAACGTAAATAGCCATCAAAACAATTTACTTTTATGGTTTGATGAGGAGTTATCAATTTTATGTTCAGACTATAAAAAGTCAGTGAGGGTTAGCCTGGGATATGGCAGATTTTTTGCCTCAGATGGGTGGTCATTAAAAACTGATAACGAAATTCCTCATATGGATAGCAAAAAAAATTGAATCCCACGAATCTTAATTAAGGCATTTGCTCTTCAATGAAAGCCTTCGAAGTTCAAACTCAAAAAAGTGTCATTTGCATACTTGTATAAATTTACATATTTAATTTCTATGCAAGCAGTTAGATCATACCTTAATCTCACTTTAACTTTTTGGAAGGATCCAAACTATACGCATATTTTATATAATTTGAGCAAGTATCTTTTTGCTTTTGCTCCAGTATTTGTTAAGGCTCCAATTTGAATCATTCATTCCAATTATTTTATAGGTTCTGAAATGTGAGTGTGCTGTACAAGGAGAGATTGCAGCACTTGCCATGGTAATGTGATTTGGATGTGCATATAATTCATTAGAAAGCTGTTTTTTTCTCGGTACATTCCAACATAGAAGCATTTTATACCTTACATTATTAAAATAGCTGTTTACTGCAGTATAGCTTGAAAAAAATAAGAGGCCTTTGCGGTTTAAACTTTGAAATGGATCTCTTCATAATTTTGTATAGGCAAGTATTATACTAGTACTTTCAACTTAGAATGCCTTAATGTTGCAGAAATTGCAACAAGATTTACAGGCCAATCAAGATCCTCATTCATTTGATGAAGTTATAGTCTATCTGTAGATAATCTCTCGCCTCCAAGTTTGAACAACTACATACTTGTTAGTCCTAGAGGTTTGTGTAAAGAACTAATTTAACTCAAAAGCTTAAACTGTTGGATGAAGTTAGATTAATGGTTTTTATACTTCTTTAACACGCCCCCTTATTAAATAAATGGAAGACGGTGAGGATCGAAACCGTGACACTAAGGCTTTCATACTATGTAAAGAATCAATTCAATCCAAAAACTTTAAACTTTTGGGTGATGCTACATTAATGATCTTTATACTTATCTAACAATTTTTTTCTTGTAGTTTTTTGTGGTTGAATGCAATAACCTTGATACAAAATAAGCAATGGTTATTATGATTCTCTCATCTCTGGCTTAGGTTCTTGCTTTTTTGTAACCATCCGGCTATTTTGGACAGAAGTGAAACTCAGACTTTGTTCAGGTAAAATTATAGTGAACCAGAAAATTGTCTTTATTTCAATGTTATGACCCTTTCCTTATTTTGTTCAATTTTTCATTTCACTTTCACGCATCTAGATATAGCCTAAATTTTTTGCTGATACTCTTTATCCTGATTGAACAAATATATTAAAACTTGAATCATTAGCACATTAATTAACGGTTACCTGGCTGTAACTAGTAAAGCACTAGAATGTTATTTTCAAATCCTATGGTCACATAATTAACAGGAAATTATTTAAATGAAAAGATGCAAGATTTGAATTTGAATTTGTCAATGAATATCAGTTTTGTAAACGTTTTTTTATTGCTGCAGTTTATCCTGCGAAACTAAGAGTAAAAACTGCTTTCATTACTGATGTCTGATAATATGATCTTAAGAGTATGTTCTGGATTTTAATATTCTTCTTCCCATCTTTGTAATTACTTTTTTTATTCTCTATTTAAATTCTGATGGTATATGATGATACAATTACTCATAAGATCAGAAAATGGTGGTATACTCTGTATGCATACTCAATTGCCCTCCATGTTGGCTACCTGTAAATTTTAATCTATATAAATGGGTTTAATGCTGAATTTAATTGAGTCCACTATTTAGATGTTCTCTATGTGAAATAAGAAAAAAGGGCCTATATATACATAATTGGCCAGGAATTACTTGAAACTTGGAAAAATGGGATTTGAATCTTGCTATGAGACTATATTGGTTGCAATATCAGTAATAACTTTAATATTGTTTCTGATTATTATGATACATGCTAAAAGTTGAAGTTACACACCCCTAAGAAACGAGGGACGAGGAAAATCAAACCCATGATCCCATAATCACATATGATAAATGAAGGTCATCAATAATTTTATGTTTCTCTAATACATTATTTTTTTGGGAATAACTTTAGTTTGGGAAACAGAAAGAACATTAAACATTACAATCCATGATAGCTTGCGTACATGATTGGCAACCTAATGAACCTACAAATAACATCTAAAGATCAATAGACATGTCCCATCATTCTTTCTTGACAAACAAAATTGATACAACGATTAAAATGCCACACTATTGACAAAAAATTACTTGAAAGTCACATATTGGAATTTTTTTTTCAAAATGTCACGTCACCTAACTCGCTACAACACCTGACGAATTAGATGTGGACACGTGGTAGTAGGTTAATGAGCATGTAAGTCGCTACACAGTACAACAAGATTAGGTGGCAGACAACTTCTGTCCCAGCCTGCCACGCGGCCTAAAACGCTAGGCAGCATGGCGATCAGCTTTTTTGACACTTGTCAAATTCGCTATGCTACATAGCATATTACGCGACTGTTGTGACACGTGTCACAAATGCATTGCGTGGTGCTACGGTGGCCACATAAGATGCTATGCTGCCCAGCGAGTTTGCCATGTGTCAGACACGTAACACGCTAATCTGCCTAGTGTTTTAGACCGCGTGGCAGGCTAGGGCAGAAGTTGTCTGCCACGTAATCTCGCTGCACTATGCAGCAGCTTACGTGGCCATGAACTTGCTGCCACATGTGCACACCTAACTCACCAGGTGTTGTAGAGAGTTAGGTGACGTGATATTTTGAAAAAAAAATTATGATCCGTGGCATTCAAGTTATTTTTTGTGAATAGTGTGGCATTTTGATTGTTGTCCCAATAAAATTATGTTTTTTTAGATATTTTTCCTTTTTTTTTATACTCTAATCTCTTAGGAGATATGATAAATAAAATAAAATAAAATTCTTGACATATGATAAAAATGAAGTGAGAAGATAATCATTAAGATTTAGGGAAGTCTTATAACAAGAGGAGATTAACAATTTGAAAATTGAGGTCATCATGAAAACTTTGGTCATCGCCCATGGAAGATGCAATGATTCCCATAAGAAATGATTAAGAAAAAGAAAATTGCACCCTAGTAATAGAGGGAATCTTTTGCTTTCCTTTTTCTAGGAATAGAGAGAATCTTTTGTTTTCTTTTGTCTAGGAATACTTGGTTCCTTATTTCTTGCACGTAAAATATACAATCACCATCCCACCCATCAAGAAGTAGTATTTGTTGGAATTAATGAACAATGATCCATTGATTATGAGTAAGAAGTGAGTTGATAAAGAAAAGAGAAAAAAGAAGTTGAAGGGGTGTGTGGGTTTTAACAAGTCCCACATTGGACACCTAGTTGGAAGTGAGAGAGTTTATAAGCTCTCACCTCACTCTCCTAGATTGACCCTTGGGTCACTATACATTTTGTTTGTGAAAGGGGAGGAGCTAGGTGGGCTTTGGTCCGACCGGCTCGGCTCAGTTCATAGGTGTGTAATAAAATTAATTTTTTATTAAATAATTTTTTAATTTTGTCTAAAAATGTATCCGTTGCTTCCCTCCAAAATTCAAACCCAAACGTTTCTACTCTCCGATTTTTTGAGCAATTTTGAACCGAACCGGTTCTTCTCTTTCGCCAACCGGTCACCGGTTGTGTCTGCTCGCCGAACCGGTCACCGGTTGTACCTGTTTGTCGGAACGGTTACCGGTCGCACCCGTTCGCCGCCGTCAGTCACGGTGGTTCATAGACACTGACACCTTCAGAAATTCATCGATTTTTTCTGCACTGAAACTCTGCCGGAATTTTTCTCCTTCCAATTTGCATATTCCTGTTCATACTCCGGTGTAGTTTTCTCTGGCATTCTGTTGTGTTCGTTTGGGCTGTTGACTGATAGTGCCACCACTCTTCAGAAGAAATCCGTTCTATCCTGGGAGACAAGTGTCCATCAACCTTAGGCATCAGTGAGGGGGAAAATTGTCTTAAGGAGACACTTTATGTGGGCTCGGATTTATTCATCTGATTCTGCATATTTTATTCCTATGATATCTTCATCTGTCTATTTCATCATTTGATATCAAGTAAGTCCGTTTTAATTTTTTATAATTGCATAGTGATAATTATGATCATTTATCTCTTCTGTTCTATATATAAGTTCAAATCTCTTAGTGATTTAATATCACCACCGTCTTCAATAACAATATTTAATACAGAGTCAGATTCAATGCTAAGTATTGTGTTAAGTTTACAAAATCCCTTCCAACGACTATAGTGCACAATAGACAATTATATATGCCTTATCGGCATTTGCTTACGAATTGGGTTTCCTATTCTTGTACCCTCACATCTTATAACAAAAATATAGAGTCACATCAATTATTTCAATAACTTTATAATTAGGAAAATGTAGCTCTCATGTCACTGTAGATGGAAAAAAGTGCAGCAACACTTATTTTTATCAAGATACGCATGCGGATCCTGATGCTTTTTTTTTTTTGCCAGGATACGACCCCGTATCCTAGTGTTAAAAATTTGCTGCAACTTTTCTCATCAGCAGTGAAAGGAGATCCGAGAAACCCTTATAATTAAGTACGCCTTTAGATTATGTTAGTTTAGAATAACAAAAATGTTTACTAAAAAAATTGAGATAATTTTTTTTAAAATTAATTATTTTCTCAAAATAATCATTTATAAACATGTGGTAATTATCTCCCAAATATTATCTTTTAGTCCCATCCCATGCTTTTTTTAGTAGAATTCAGACAAGTGATAACTTATCAAGTATATGTATTAAATTGACTTGGTTTTTTTTGTTTAGGTAATGTTTAAATTTTTTATACCTTGTCTAGTTATGTTTGTTAGGTAAACCTTGTCTAATTATATTATTTCTTAGATTGTCTCACTTATATGATGATTCATCCCACTATCAAAGCTCCATATATGAAATGGAAATAATTAGTAAACTGCTTTTAAACATTATCATAAACGAAACAATATCAAATTCATTAATGCCGCCTTATAGTGACATGGTGAATAAGAGCAATGACCAATTGGTAGAAGAAAGAAAACTATATCAAGAAGAGAAATAATAGTATAATTTTGGAGGAAGATTTTATTATTTTATATTTTCATGGAAGATGATATCCACCACTAAATTTTATTGGCAGTATTATGAGTCCCACAATAGAACATTCAAAAATATTTTTCCTATAAAGACCAACCAATACTATGGCCATGGAATTCACCGGCAACACAAGGCAAAGAGATAAGCAACTTTGGCCCTACATGACTTAATATATCTACTAATATATTAATCAATGTATCATGACAAGACATGAACCATCAATAATTGAGATTATTAGATGAGCAAAGCATACAAAACTGATATATGCTTACCATTAATAACTAATTAATCTTGTCATGATATCATTATATTATTACTATATATGCATAATCCACCCATCAACAATTTTATTCTTTTCCTTCTTCTTATCCTCCTTCTTCTCCTTCATGTTCTTGAAGAATGAGATTGATGGCTGTTAACTATACTTTCTCAGCTCAAATCTCAATTCAGAAACATGGTTCATTTCTAAAATATGCAAAAAAAGAGTTGATGTACAAACGCAGCTCTGTCCCACAGAAAAAGGCACCAGTTGGTCCAGTACTACTAAGGATCTCAGCATCCATCAAGAACAAGGTCAATATCCTATATCTTTCTTCTATACTTTTAAAACTCCATGCCAAGCTTTCTTTGGTAATTACTATTTTCCAAACTGAACAATCCCATATGATTAATTTATAAACAGAAATTAGACTATGCTTTAGGGACTATCTGTTAATTGATGTATATTTTTCTTCTAAACAGGTTTATGAAGATCAATCTGAGGGCATAATTTGCTATGAAGATGAGAATGGAGAAATAATTTGTGAAGGGTATGATGAAGGGCCTCGTTATCAACGAATTTCAAGGCCAACCCATCATCCAAGGTAGAGAAGCTTACCTAACTTAGTACTTAACTCCCTCACCCACAATAAAAAATAAAAAAAGGTACTCAACTTCAAATTTGTAGATTTTATACTTATCTGACCACATAAATTTTGTTGGGTTCAGGGATGCTGAAATAATGAATCTTCTACTACAACTAAGTTGTCTTCAGATTGTTAAAGGGGAAGGAATCAATCATGCAGTTGAAAGTGTTCATCTGCAAGAGGATTTAACTGCAATAAATGGCTTTAACTCAATTGGCCAATCTATCTAGCCTTTGTCATACTCGAAAAAGCTCTGAACAGTTATGTGCAGTGCTTGTAGTTGTATGTATCAAAATGGTGAATCAAATTAGCACATGTATAGGGGGTTCGTTCATACAATTTGTACAAGTTAATAATGTCAATGCTTTTTCTTAATTGCTTTTCCTTTGCAATCAGTTCATACAGTTGTTTATTAGTATTTTAGATTATCTGATAGAAGAGAAAGGGAATAATGATGACTTCTTATCACACAGCAAAAAATTTGTCTGGATGCCACTGTGATCTGAAGGACACATTTAAGTTTTAAGAATGTCTTCCACTGTTAAATCATACATTTATGTGAACACAGACTTTTGACACTGAAATTTTAATGGATAAATTAAGGGAAATAGTTGTCTTATGTCACGTAAGATAATTGTCTTATGTTGTACACTTATAGAATTTTGTGCCCATATTTTCTTTTCTTTTTTAGTTTTTTAAAAACTTTGGGTCCACAACTTTGTTTCACTCACATAAGATACTTATCTTACATGACGTAAGATTAATAACTCTCATAAATTAATAGTGATAAACACGTATACCATTTTATATTTATGTATATTTTATAACATTTTTATCGATTTTAAAAAAGATGTTATACTGTCAATTACGAAGATGTGACTTTAGTGTGATGTGTTACAAATGACAAAACTATATGGACAAAATCCAAATGCAAGAATAATACACAAACCAACATCTTATTTATTTAAATCTAAAATTAATCTCATTCCTCTTCTGCACGTTGCTTTAACATGAATGACCAACAATAAACCACTAAGATTGATCAAGTGATGAGAGTTTGGATAATTTGTATTAAGTTATGTGTTTAATTCCCACTATTGTATCCACAATAAAAATAAAAATGACCAACAACAACTGCACGATATGATGATTGCAATGGTATTTGAGATATTTTCAAGAGCACACCTAATAAATTTAAATGGTATACATGTATATAAATTGATGCTAGAAACAGTGACTATAGGGTTTTTTTTTTACAAAGATTTCATCCAGAGGTCATCAAATATTTGTACCCCAGATAAACATCATATGGCTTCTAACAGCCCTTCTTTTGGTGTCTTCTAACAAATAATTGAGAATATCTAGTTGACGAAATTACAAATGACAAAAAATTAATTCCTATATACTTAAACAGGGAAAAAGAAAATATAATATAAAATTATGGGGGATTTAATTCCCCAAAGTAAAAATTTACAGAAACACAAAGCCAAAGAATCATTCAGCTGAATTCCTAGAATGTGTGTTGTCTTCACCAAAATCAGACTGGGAATGACTAGGAATAATAGATGGAGGAGACCACTGATCTGGAAGCATGAGAAAATAAGTGGTCATTGCTTTCCTGAACCTCTTCTTGTATTGCTTTGGTGATATAACTGTTGGAGATGTGTTCTTTGGCCCTCCAAGGATGCCTGAAGCTTTTACCCATGTTTCAAGATGCTTGTCCCATGTATATTGCCTCATGAAATCAATGATTCCAAGAACTAACTCATGCTTCTCTTCATCCACCCCAACTAGTAAAGAGTAGTCCATTACATCAACTGACTGCACAAGAAGAAAACAGATGCATGTGAGAAGGAGGACAAAAGATGATGTACAATTTACAAGAAAAGTTGCACACACAGACCCCTTCTAACTTCTAAGCAAGAAACAAGAAAAGAAGACAGTTAAAGTTTTGGAACTTACTGCAAGAAAACCAGTATCGTTCCAGACAGCTCTCTCCAACAATCGTTTTGCTTTGTTTCCCACAAAAATAGGAGAAGTTGGCATTGCTTCAATCAAATTCTGGTCCAGCAGTACTTTGTTTTTCCCGCTACTATCCGGATTATACCGAGACCTGGAAGATCCTTTAAGATCATACAGTCGTGTCACAGTCCTCCTAAATAGAAGATTCTCCATAACCAAAACATCAATCCTTGACTCTTTTCCTCCTTTAAGATGCTTTGACGTAACCTTTCCAATAGAAAGTCATCCAAAAATTAAGAGGTTAAGATGGTATGTAAGTAAGTGAAGCAAAATACAGAATTACACATTATCAATCCAATTACCAATACACTTAACGAGATGGTTTATTGCACGGTCCTTCCATCTTTTCTTTTAGTCATCATGCATTTAACACATTTAAAATCATTTCAATTTTCAGCAACCAGTATAAAGCACCCAGGAAAATTGGATGAGCACCAAAGCTATTATTCTTCTTTCTTTTCTCTATCTTCCTTTTTTTGGGCTGAACAGGCCACCTTTTTTTTAAAAAAAAAAAATATTTCTAGAAGGTTGTACAAGATGAATATGTCCACAGGAGATGCTATAACAAAAGATATATGGTTGTTGGAGCATTCTGTTACCTCATAATTACCAGAGATACCTTTCAAAAGATAAATGACCATTTAAACTTCCTTGGACAATATAGTTAGGCATGTTGAATGCTTGACTCCTAATAAAATTTTCATATCACGACTAGATTCATCAAGTTTTCATCTTCATCAAAAAATATGATAATTTAGCAGAACCCTTGAGTGGCTCTAAAAAAAAAAATTAATAAAATAAAAATGTAAGGCCCAAAGATAAGTACCTGATATATGCCAAGAATCTTTGCCAGGCATGTTGGACTTCCTGAGCCTATGGATTCAGAAAGGTACTTGAAGTATTCAGGACCAAATTTAATGAATGATTCAAGCTCAGTTTTGGTAACTTGTTTGATGATAAATCGATCATCCAAGGTTTTTGCAAAGAATACATTGCTCTTACCACCTTGAGCTCGCCATTTCTTACAGCGACTCAGAGATCTTACATAGTCAAGCTCTGAAGGACAACAGACCCTTCTTAAGGCTTCAAATCGCTTGGCATAGTAACAAGTAACAGAATATTTTACCTTGCCAAGGGGACCATCTTCTCCAAAGGAAACTCTGGCATGCATAGCCTTTGTATATGACATTGGGTCCAGCATCGATGCATTACGAGACCCAGACAAGGACAATATCATGTCCTCTGTTGACCCGAAACTTTTCAGAGAATCAAAAGCTGATTCATCAGTAGATGTGAATGACTGGAAGGTGCCTGATTCAGAAAAATATGACGAAGCTAAATCCATTCCTTCCTTTGGTCTCTCTCCTTCATCAGTCAATTGGGAATGATAATCGGATGACATTAAGGCATAAGCTATAATACTTGAGGGTTCATCATCATATACAGGAATTACAGTGTCATTAACACCAATTGGCAGAAGCAGCCTTGCCCCACCTTGGAGTTCCAGCTTCCGGAAGGATGATACAAAAATGGGATTGTAGTCAACTAGTGTATCCAACTTCTGTGTACTAGCAAAAAAATTCTTGTTAAATTGACGATAGAAGTTTAAGAAGGGCATTCCTAACCAGCTCAAAGAGTCTTCCATATTATCATGACCTTTAGAAGCAGAATAGATACTCTTGGGGCCATTCTGGTCTTCTGCACGATCCCGATCCCCTAGATTGTATGTTTCTTTCGGTATAGTGGTCGTCAAAGCATCTGCCGTGAATAAATCAGGATTTATGGAAGTGTTGTCCTTTTGGATTCCAAATCCTGATTGCTTTTCACCGGTCCATTTTGCATCAAGTGTATCAGACAAACTAGGTATGGCAGGAAATGGTCCATCAGAGAGAGCTCTGCGAATACCCAATTCAGGTTCTAAAAGGTCAGACTGATCACTTATGCTTTTGCTGATTGAAAGATTAGGTTGGCCTTCTTTCTCATCATTTTTACTTTTGGCCATGTCAATTTCTTCATGACAGGCATCAGATTGGGACATTTTTCCATCAACCACTCCACCTCCTCCTCCTGCTCCAAGGCTAGGACTTTTGTTAAGCTTTGGATCACTATGAATAGAGTTAACATCGCTGAAGCCCCTTCCTTCCGTGGAGACCACACTTACCTGATTTTCATCAATAGGTCTCTCCTTATCCTCTGAAACTAAACTGCTTAAATCAGTTTCTTTGCTGGAATTGGCTAAGTTGGCTGCATAAATAAGGCGGTGATCCCACATATACGATTGGAACAGTAACTGCCTCCGCATTCTATTAATTTCCAGAATGTCAATCCCAGGTTGGCCCTTTATCTTGTCTTGTTTCAAAATCTTTTGAAGAGTTTCCTACGTAAACAAAAGAGAGAATGATTAAACCAGAAGAGTTTCCTATTTAAATGCTGCTGCATTTATAGAATTTAATAAAACTTCCAGCCCATCAAGACTACTAACATAACAACACTCCAAAAACAAAGTATTCTAGTATTCTCATATTCTAACATACATTAATGATTTTACTTCACTAATAGTTGCTAATAACAAAATTAATTACTATATATGGCGACTAGAAGACACAGAACTTGACTGAATGAAGCTATAAATTCAAGTGCAATTTACTGAAACCTCACCTCAAATTCTAGTTTCTCCTTTTGCAACATCCCCTCTAGTTCAGCTACTTGGCGTCTTAATTCAGGAGTTTTAAGGCCACCGCTGATTAGGACTGCACTAGATCTTTTCTCTCCAATTTGACTAAGACCATTGAGTACCTCTGAGAATAAAAGCTCCGCTCGGTTAACCACCTGTAACAACCAGAAATTAGGTCCACTATCATACAACCAAATTTTAAGATCCAAGTCTGCAAATATTGAACCTCATCTGACTCTTTTTGTATCCAATCCTGACTCCCATAGTCAAAAACAAGTTTGTGGGGGGGAAGGTAGACTGAGTGAACATCAATTGATGCATACCGAAAACAAGCAACCATTTTCCCAAATCTGCAAGAGAAACACGTGTATGGTGAATTAATCCCACCAAAAAAAAGCTACAAGTACATATATCAGCTACAAAAATAAATAAATCTATATTCTTAAATGGCATAATAAGACAAGTGGGTTTATATGGTTTTTCATAATGAGACGCCAAACAAATATGCCCTCCAAATGGAGGTTATAAGAATCCCTCTCTTACATAATCAGGTTGATAAAAAATTTAAAAAAGAATGTTTAGTTTTCAAATGTAACAATTTGATTAAGAAGTTCATTATAAATAATATGGAGATGGAGACCACATACATCACAGTTCTATTTTAAATGGGCAACATCTAAAAAACTTGAACCAGATGCTTGTTTAGTTCAAACACAAAAAAGGGAAGATTATAATCACCCATAAAAACGAAGACAATCTCTGTGTAAAGAATGGCCACAGCTTGCCACCCTGCTGGCTGCAGCATGGTTTGAGAAACTGAGCTCTAAAAATTTCCCAAATGATAAACCCCAAGCAGCATCAGACATTACTATTCTCTGTGTAGCAGGAGGAAAGCCATTGATTCTTGGACACCGTAAGCATCTGTGCCACATCCAAATCTTTCCTTCCCTTTCACCAGGTAGGAGAATTTCTGGTAGTTTCTTGACTGATATAGTGAGTGTTCCCTGTCGATGAGTATAACAATGCACATGTGCTTCCGATGGCATTTCACAAGAATGGCATCGATAACTCTGAAAATTAAAGACACTAATTGTAAAAACTACTGCCATAGTTCTAACAACAGAGACACATTTACTCCCAGAGCAGAAAATTACCTGATCAAATAAATGGTCCCGAAGAAAGCGACCTAATGGTTTATCAAAGCTGCCATAGTATTTAATTCGAAAGAGATGGGACCTCTCACACACAGTTCCCTTCCAAACGCATCGGGAGGACAAAGACACCAAAATGCTTTGATGGTCAGAGGGAGATGGAGGAAATTCTTCTTTTTGAGGAACTGGGTCTTCATTTGTGATTTCAAGCTTCTCAAGCTGGTTTTGAATCTCTTTTGGAGATAATGACTCAGACCCACTTAATTGGTTTGTAGAGAATTTGCTATGACCATTTTGAGGAGGGTCAGTTAAAATGTCTTGATATAATTTCTCTGAAGTTCCACAGCCATTTACAGTAGGATCATCCATGACTACCAGAGTGTTGTCCACTTCAGAAGTTTCTTCCACGAAAGATTCTTTGGAGTCTATTTCATTTCTGTCTTTACTAGTGCATGAAAGAAGCGGCTTATGGTATGAATCTGGAATTGCATTTTCTGAAACAACAATGGAGGGGTAAAAGGAAGTTGAATGATTTTGACTTGATCCAAGTGGCATAGATCCAGAAGTACCATTATACACACACGGTCCTCTACTGAAGGCCGATGAGGCTAGATCAGCAGCTGTGACACTTTTGGTTCTCCGTGGTCCAGTGTCAGGTTCAAGTCCCTGTGACTTTTCATTGCTAGGAACAGTGAAACCAGGAACTAATGAGATGGACCTCTGAATGGATGATGAACTATCTGGAAGGGCCAGACTATTTAATGGAAGTTCTGGCAGGGAGACACCTTCATCAGCAAGAAAAGATGTCTCCAGAGCCAAATGGTAAGCTGCAAAAACTCCATACTGAACCACATGCTTTACCTTCTTCAATTCATCCTTGTCAGCACCTCTAAGTAAAATCTGTTCGATTAGAAACACAAGATAAATGAACTCTTCTTACAATCTCCAAATGACAACTAAGTCACAGTAAAAAAACATCTAAAAAATCACTAGACATATTAGATGAATTTTCCTTTTTTTGAATAAAACATATCAAGGATTTAGGAGAACGACAAGATGACAGTTATCCATGTGGTTGCATAGCACATACAGATTATCTTTATTATTATTATTATTACTAGATTATCTGTAATTTAGAAGTTACTTTTCCCTGTAATTTTTTTTATCTTATTATGTTAAAAAAATTTCAAAAAAAAAAACAAAAATAAATTAAGACTTACTGTGCAACCCAACGGTTTTGGGCAGCCTTCCAAAAACATCAATGTTTTCACTGTTTTTTTCCCACCCTGATCAGCACTACTTAGGTCTTCAAGAAACTTTTCAACATGAAATGTTTCACAGTAACCCAACTTTTGGGATGAAAGATGATCTATTGAAGGCACTATTTGAGTGCCAGTGCAACGTGCTATGCGCTCCAAAAGTGGTCTCTTGACATTGAGAACCAGAGATATGTCTTTTGCAAGAAGATATTCCTGTGCATATCGAGAAACTGATTTCTCTACCAAAAGGATATTTGGCTGGTGTGCAGCTATCTTTGCCACTGCCATCTTCAGATGGTCCATTTCCTAGATAAAGGATATAAACCATTAGCATGAACTCATGATACTTGCATGTGCACCAGCACCAAGCAAGTGCCACACTAAAACTTAAAAAATGGTACATAAGTACAACCTGCTGCAATAGGGTATCCACACTGGACAAGAGGTTTGTAACACGCTGGTACTCAAGAGCCCCTCCAAGGATCAACAAGCGAGGTTTATCCACTTTTGTTGTCATTCGCCTGTGAGCCACATTTTTCTTACCAACAACTCCTTTAACCACCACACTATAAGAATATAAATCCAAGAAATAAGTCAGGTAAAAGGAATGCAAGGATTGTAACATATTAAAAGCTCTTTGACCCATGATAGAGTTTAACAATATATTACACAGTATAAAAGGAGATAAGAGCTAGTGATCAACATAAAATTATGTGAATTGAGATTAAGTTCAAATTTAGCCTATGCTGTAGATTTCAATGAAAATTGACTACTAGTGTAGAAGTTCTTATTATTTCTACATTTCCATGTTATAGGATGAAGAAAGAAAAAGATACATGAGTGATCAAAAGAGAATATTTAGTGTTTTCTAGATATCTATTAAGATCCATTTTAACCCAAAAACTTAAGCTATTAGGTGAAGGCCACATTAATGGTACTATATTATATTTCTCTAATAATATCATATGCCAGTTTCAGTTTGATATCATACTTCATGCCTGCTTGAATTTATGCACGAGAGAAATTGGATAACAAGGCCTCATAGTCCATTGCTAAATGCCATTTAGATTGATAAATTGTATCATCTGATCTAGAAGAACATCAAACGAAACTAAATAGAACATAGAGATTACATATGGGAAATCATATAAATTATAGTATTTACCTTTCCATACGGCTCCCACATGCTATGCATTTGACTTTCACATAACCACCTGGGTCCATACCCCCACCTTTGCTCATATCTGGTTTCAATAAAGTAGCAGCTTCCCATGACAGGGATGTGATTATCTCCAACCAACTGTTTTTGTCATTGTCTTCGACAGGTAGGTTCTCAACCTGTAACAGCTGAGCTACCAATGCCCTAAAATGCCCATCAACTACATTCTTCACTACGTTCTTTTGCTCCTCACCTGACCTATCTCTTTGTCGAGACTCCCCACTTCCAAAACTGCTTGAATTTTGCAGATACCCCCATTCTCCAATAGCATTCCCATCATTATCATCATCATCATCAAACAAAATAGCTTCCCGTTCATCTTCTTCATTTTCTGGTTCAGGAGGGAGCCAGAGAAGTCCATTATTTTCAAAATCAACAGGTTCGGCATTAACATCCTCTGAAACATATAGGGAGGAAGGTGCTTCATTTTCATCACAGATATCAGGTTCATCTTCATTTTTTGCAGTAACTGGGATTCCTTCCAAATCCTGTGTGTCAAAAGTGTGTTTTTGTTTTGAAGAGAGTGTTGCATTAATGTTCTCTCCATCAGGATGCACCTTCTGTGAGCCATCAGTGTTGCTTATCCCATCAAGCTCAGCTTGTCCATAGTAGCTATTCACTTGAGGATAACGCCTTATATCTGAATCTGACCGATATGCAACATACTCATCCTCATCATCATCAATCCTGAAGCAAGATAAAAGCATATGATCCATGACAAAATATTAGAAAAAGAAGCAACACTCATGGACTTGACACAGTTCAAATACAAAAATTGTTGGTTGATAGAGAATGCAAGCACTAGTTAAATAAATTACAGATCAATCAGTAAAAAACATTCACATATTCAAACTCTGAAGCCTATTAGAACTAAAATGTTTATGTTATCGCTTATCGGACTTCCCCACTTAATTTCAGTTATAATTTATGATTGACTAAAAACACCTTAAATACAAAACTACATGAAGAATATCTGAGGAAAGAAATATCAATATAAACAATCAAACAACAGTTCTCTTTATTGGTGAACCTTGGAGAAATAGTATAATACCTGTTTATTGAGAAACCATATTGCTTGGGTAATGGATCCCCTAGGTCTGCTACAAGATCATTCCTCCCTCCTAATGCTGATAAACCTTCGGTATCAGTGTCTTTTCCCCTCACAGGTGATTGGTGCAGGTTCAGACAGGGACTCTGCTGTATTTGTTGATAAGACCCAACTGAATAAGGCATGGAGCAAAGAGTAATATTACTACTGTTAGCAGTGCCACTGCTTTTACTACTAGCCAAGCTTGAAGTCGACATTGAAGTACTACGATCCAGATTGGAAACCTGGATACTGTTATCGACAGAAACTATGCCCTGCTCCCATTGCTTGTAACAATAATTGCATACACGAATCTTTTCCCACTCATCCCAGGAATTCCTTTGGCTGCTAAATGGGGCAGGAACTGAGTTTGTTGTACACTTGGCACAGAAAATTCGTCCACAAAGACGACAATGGTGTCTACGGTTAAATAAGGTGAACTGGGAATCACACTCGTAGCATACTCTACAACTCTGGTCGGGCATCCAGAAATCCCTAGACACATTTTCTGGCTCGGAGTGCCAGGGAATCCATGATTTGATGATGCCGACAAGCTCAGAAAAAGCCTTGTCTATTGCATCCATTGACAAACAATCTAGCTTCCCTGTTCATTATGACATGCCCATGTGCAACTCATAACAGACCATGTTCTGAATAGGAAACTAATCCAAAATAAAGAATTAGAACACCAACAAGAACATGATCAATCCCGGAGTTCCTAAGCTACTATACTTAAAAGTTACAACTCAGGTGCAAACCCTCAGAATCAGAAATTCAATTCTTCTATATGCACAAACAATCCCTAACCTTGTTGAGGCAGTTCGTCGTTCTCCATCCCAGTCTAACAAACAACTTCATTAACGAATCAGCACTTGGGAAAGGATCAGTTGCCACCTCTATTAAACCTTGAACTAAAATTCATAAAAAGGAACCTTACTTCCCCAACCGTTCAACCAATTCAACTCTCACAAATCACTCTTACTGCTAAACAAGGACAACAGGATAACTAATAGTACAATCCAAACAACACCAAGTCAAATTAAATGAATGTTGACAAAATTCACCGAATTTAAAAGAGACAAAAAGCTCATACCAGGATGAAAACCTTCATGCACCATCACATACAAGAAAAGAACACGCTTCCATGCAAAAAATTCCAACTCAAAAGGTCAAACCCATCTCTCCTCAATCACTCCACTTCTCCCTCCCCATTGCAAAACAAACCCATCTCCCACAAAAAAGGAGGGTTATGGAAACTTTTCCCCCAAAAGACCAAAATTCTTGAACCAATCAAAACAAAGCACCTCTGTTGATCAAACAGGAAATTCAACCCGAGAGCTCCATCAAATGCTGATCAAAATCCCCCATTGAAGCGATACACAATATCAAAATTAGATCCTCCACAGAGAAATACAAAAAAGGGGGGTGTCAGCCAGATTTGCCCCACGTAACTACCGTGTTACACCGAAACTTCAACACACACGCGCACACACACACACACACACAGAGAGAGAGAGAGAGAGCGATGAAAAAGGTAAGGTAGAGGAATATATCCCGGGAAACAAACACCGACCCAGAAACGATCCGTTGCAGAATGAATCATCTACGACTTCAAAATTGTACCTTGATTATCCCAAAAAAAAAAAAAAAACACCATCTTCATCCCCAAAATTAATCTAGAATTAATGAGTAATATCTGAAATTCAAGGGAAGAATAATAATTGTGATAACAATTCTGTTCGTTTACACGAATTTGGGGAAAGCAAGGATCATTAGAAAATTCGGTTTTGGTTATGGAAATTGAATGATGACTTTTTCATTTTGCTTCTTTGTTCCATCATTTTCTCATTAGTTTTTCCCCTGTGACCACAGACAGAGAGACCTAACCTGTGCATTTCAAAATTAAAATTAGCAACTTAATAATAAAAATTCGATCTAAAATTTATTTTTCCTCTTTGAAAAATAATTATAAAGACAGTTATTTTAAATGGAAAATGATAATTAATTTGTCTAAAATTATTAAATTTTGATATGGATTTATTAATGTCATAATAAAACCATAACTTAAATTTTTTGAAATTAAAGTTATATTTCCTTTTATGTGCTTTTTTTTAAATGAAGTCAATAGCAGTTACGGGTCACAGCGTGACTTGTCAAAGTGCATAAAAGAAAGGTTAAGAAAGTCAAAGCAAAAGAATTAAGACAAAATACATTAATACTCAGTGAATGTCTTTTTGTTCTAAATAAAATCTCATTATTGCTTTTATGAGGGGAAAGAAAAAGAAAGGTTATAAAGGCTATTATATCTTACATTTTATATAATATTTAAGAGAAATTTAATATTCAAATAATTATAAATTTTAATCAATTTTAAATTAAAGATATTATTTGGTTAAGTTTAATTTTGATTTCTAATAATTTTATATATATAAAAAAGTGACATGTATAAATTTGAGGTTGAGTTGAGCTTCGAAGAAAGGAACATAGCAATAAACATATCACCAACGTTATCCACAAAACAAAACCGCGTATGCTCAGTGGTTGAATCCAAAGAAGCAATGGATACAAATGATTCAACATCCAGCCTATTTTTTAGGCAACAAGCAACCTATTATTTTATATATTTTCCATAACAACCAAAATAAATAATTGCTTGAGTGCAGTATCTAAGAACACCAAGGTCAAAGTTACAACTATAAAAACTATAAGATTGAATTTTACTCCTGGATTAGATATGGGAAAAAAAAAAAAAACAAATTTGGACAATTTAATTTGTCCAATTAAATACCATAGATAAGTACATCTGTCTCCCAGGTTAAGTAGTCACTTTTCAACTGAAAAATACGTTTTGGTATGTGCCTCTCTAACGTTACTTTGTGAATGAATTTTTTTTCTAGAAAGATAGTGGTTATGTAAAATAACAGACAAGGACCTTTTTCGGTTACAAATATTTGTCAAATCAATTGGAGTGTGCATAATAATGTTTTCAAAAAAAAAAATTATTTTTATTTTTAAATTTTTAGTCTGCGAAACAGAAATAAAAAATAATATTTAATAAAGTTAGTTTATTTTTTCAAATAAAAATTAATTTTTTTTTTTGTGTGACACGTAAAGAGGAACAACGCTTCCTCTTGTCTTTTACTTAGGTATTCGTGTTTCTCATTTATCTTGGACTTTTTTGAGAGTTGGTTTTAGGAGGGGAATGAAAAGAAAGAGAGAGTTTTAGAACCTTGTTTGTGAGTTTAAAAAGATGAGTGGAAAAAATTGAAGATTTTTACTAAATCCTCCAAAACCCTCCTTCTTCTTAAAATTAAAGTTCTCCTAATTTGGAGGGTTTGAAGGGGAAAATATTAAAAATTACTTATCTACTATTAGCATTAAAATGTGAAAACTACATAAATATGAATCATTTTTAAATGTGACATTATTAGAAAAGTCTCAAATACTGACAGAATTTATGGACGAAAAATATTTCCTCAAAAATAATGATGAAATTTTTGATAAAAATCATATACGTCGATAAATTTTCGTCAAAACTAAAGACGAAATTAGAGACGGAACCAGATTTTGCCATAATGAGTGACATCAATTTTTAACGGAAAAAAATTCAATCAAAATTATTGATAGAATTTAAATTCCGTCAAAACTTTCAACGAAAATACTTTTGTCCAAAATTTTGACGAAACACATTTCCATCGAAAAGTTTCGACGTAAAAAAATTACATTAATTTTTTTTTAGGAAAATATCAAAAAATTTCGCAAAAATTTTCGACAAAAAATATTTCCTTCAAAATTTGATACTAAAAATAATTTCTGCAAAAAAATTTGACGGAAAATTTGTTTTGTCAATATTCTTTATGGAGTCTAAATTTCGTCAAAATACTTCCCTCGAAATATTTAACAAAAAAACATATTCATCAAAAAATTTGACGAAAAATATTTCCATTAAAATTTTCAACGAAACATATTTCTCAAAAGTTTTTGACGGAAAAAATTTTCATCAAAATTCTTTACATAATTTAAATTTTGTCAAAAGTTTTTGACAGAAACATTTTCGTTAAACTTTTTGACAAAAAAAATTTTTATCAAGAATTTTCGACGGAAAATATTTCCATCAAGTGTTTTGATAAAACACATTTCCATCAAAATTTTCAACAAAACACATTTCTGTCAAAAAAATTTGACAGAAAATATTTTCATAAAAAAATTTGACGAAAAATATTTTGATAAAAAAATTTGACGGAAAAAATATTCTGTCAAAATTCTTTACAGAATCTAAATTTCGGCGAAAGTAAGGGATATAGATCCATTCTTGTCAAAATATTAGGTTAATTTAATTTTAATTATTTACTTATTTCAGGTGTGTTTAATATTGATTTATTTGTAAATAGTTATATTTAAAATTTCATTTTTAGGCATATTTTAATTATGTGTTATTTGACACCTTATAAAAGAGTGTTTAAGACTTCATTTGCATATAGTTGAATATTTTGTTAATTTTGATAATAGAAATTGAAAATTAGAGCGTTTTTATTTATAATATCTCAATTTTCTGTTTTGTCACTTTTTCTATAAGTTTTTGGTATTATTTGATATCATATCAATAGGTTGCCTTCAACTAATAACTGAATAGAATCGTAGAGATCTTGAATAACAGAGTCGTGATGATGGTAAGGGATATAGATCCATTCCTGAAGAAGGAGGACAACCGCATTAGATAGACCATCAAGACATAGAAAATGAATATCTCAGAACGACAGATTCTGGATTTAAAGCGACAACTTGTGCAGATGCAGAGCAGGAAAATCCAAGATTTGGAGCGACAACTTGCGCAGACAAAGTTAGACATTCTATTTGAAGAAATGAATGTAGTCATAAACGTATCTAATAATGAAGAGGGAGACGTCAATCCTTTGAAGATTTTACACTAAGAATGGAATTGGGAAGTACAACTTAGAGATCTGTCCATTTTTTCATGATAGCGAGATGACGATCAAGATTCCTAACACTTCAGTTCATGGTGATGGCCCCATATATGATGACTTTGATAGAGGGCAAGATTGTAGCAGTGATCCAAAATAAGATGATTCTAGTGAAGAACAAGATTGTGACAGTGATCCAAACTATGATGATTCCAATGAAAAACGAGATTACTTGATCCAATCTATAATGATTACAATGGAAAGTAAGATTGAGACTTTGAATGACCAAAGGGTTAAAGTGCAACAATGTATTCATGATTCCATATGTACTCAAAACTTGCGGTTGTCCAACTGTGCTGGAGTTGAAGATGCACACAAGGTGTTTGATTGAGAGAAAGAAAGACTTGTTGGCTCTGAATATTGTTATTTTTGGGCACGCTAAACAGGGCTTGCAAATAAGGTATTGAATTCATCATTTAGTTTGGTACAAATATAATTTTAAGAACGTTAATGTGGATTCAAATATGATAATTTTGACACTTTGATAAATGGGTTTGCACATAAGGATGAACCAACAATGGCAGTCCTTGATATCTTCATGTTGGTGATTGCAGATGATGATGTTGAGCCTAACGTGGTATCGTGGACTTTTGTTATATTTGGTATTATGCAAAAAATTTGTAATAAGGAAGCATTTGATACATTTAAGCAAATATTGTGTCATGGATTCAACGCACTTAAGCTACCATCAAGGCATCAATGAAGATGAAGTAGATCTGAGTACAAATCTTTTCACAGCGAGGGAGGATGCTCATAGAATTGCCTTATAAGATGAAGGGTTAGATTTAAAACACGATTTGATTCCTTTTCTCAATCTTTTAATTACTTAGTTGATTTAACTTTAATTTTTTTATCTTAGTCGCGTTTAATTCTGATTTATTTGTAATCAATTATATTTAAATTTTCTTTTTTTAAGCATATTTTAATTACACTTATGGTTATTTGACACCTTATAAAAAGGTGTTTAGGACTTCAATTGTAGGTAATTGGGTATTTTATTATTTTGATAATAAAAGTAAAGAATCGAAAATTATTTTTATATATTACCTTTACTTTCTGTTTAGTATATTTTCTATGAATATATATTTATATAATTACATTTTATATGCAGTTATTCATTTCAATAAAGATAATAATATATTATTATAAAACATGAACTATATATATATGGATTAATGTTTCTTATGTTGTAAAAGATTATTTTATCTTCTATATATAAATAAAAGTGTGTGGGCCCATATTTTTTTTTCTTTTCACATGACTTGATATGAGACTTATACTTTTTTTTTTTTTTTTTTTTTTATAATCGAGACTTATACTTTTTTATATGTGTGTAAGAGATAACATTATCTCCTAGAACAAGAGAAAAAATAATTTTGTTCGTAAATTTATTATATAAATTTTATTAAAATAATCTTCATTAATTCTTATAACTCTCAAAATGATATAGGTTTGGGATTACAGGAGATAACTTTATCTCCTGTGACAGGAAAACAAAAAATCACACACACACATATATATGGGAAAATATTTTCTTCTTTTAAAGGAGAATTTTTTTCTCATACTAGTTAGTGACTCATAACATAAGTGGGTCCCACTTTGAATTTTTTTCTCCACTATTTTGTACACCCTACTTGTACTATGAGTCATGAATAGGAGAAAAATTTTCTCCTTTAAAAGGAGAAAAAGGTATATATATATGTATGTATGTATGTATGTATGTATGTATGTATGTAGGGAAAAATATTTCTCCGACAACTTGAGATAAGTTTATCTCCGGCCACCCCAAAACTACG